AGTTGTCATCTCTCCCGCTAATCCACTCGCTACCAAGTCCCGCGAATCCTCCTCCAGTCGCCCCTCGCCGGTTCTCTCAAACCCAGATAATCAGTATATATATAGTTCTCACTGTTGATTCAGTCCACCGAGCTCGGCTGTGGCCGACGAGCAAGGGTCTTCAGACGGCGGCCGACGAGCAAAAAAAGCTTAGCTCGCTCTCTCTCTCTCCCGACGACAAGCACTCGTCCTCGCCGTCGCCACCCTAAACCATGTTGCCGCTTCTGTCGCCTGAAGTTTCCCACAGTCGTCAGCGGCACCACCACCACCATCACCCCATCATTACCGATCACCAACCACCAATCTCTCTAAACACTTTCTCTCTTTTCTGCAACACACCACCCACCACCAAAAAAGCCTTAACTTTTGGAACCACCACACACCACCACCACCACAACGGCCAACAGTTCCATCTACCCAATTGTCGGGATATAATTGTCTTTTAACTAATCTGATATTTTGAAATAAACGTTATTAAAAAAATAGAGGCAAAGTTGTCTTTTCACATGTTTTTAACAGAGGCTGTAACGGAAAATCAAAAATGGACCTAAGTGATAGTTATTTTCGAAAGATATTTTAGACTAATATTAGGCCAAACTATTGGGGGTGTCAGTGAAATTATCTCTAAAATCAAAGAAACTTGGGAGGGGGTTTCAATAAAATTCTTACCATATATAGGCATAAGCAACATGACTTCAAATAGAGGGAAAGCCATACAAGCTAAAATAAGCTTTCCAATGTTTTTAGATAATGGACTTTTCTGTCTAAAAAAAAAAATAAAAAATGTTTTTAGTTAATTAAAAGATTTAGGCTCTATTCCACATGCGTTATTTTTATTTTTGGACCGCTACAGTGTCGATTCTGACAAAAAAATATATATATTTGGTGCGGCCTTATTTTATTTTACACAGTGCTAAAACATTTCATAAATAGTGGCCCATAACGAAAACACGGGCCTGTTTAGTAACACTTTTGCTTTCTGATTTTTGCTGTCAATTCCTAAAAATAGAAAGGAAAAGTAAAAATTATATTTATTAACATATTTTTGTTTTTTTACTTTCAGAAAGTACTTTCACATTTTAGGAAAGAAAAAGAAAGCACAGATTTCTCACTTTCTTGTTTTCTCCACTGTAACGGAGGAATTACTTCCGCTACTATAGTGGAACTTAAAAAACGCTGTGCTCCATCATTTATAACAATACCCACAACCCACAATCATCTCTCCCACCCACAACCCACAATTGTCTCTCCCATGTACCACGATGATGGCCACCAGATGGGCAACTCCGATGAAGATGATTCACCAATCGGTATCGTTGGCAACCACCATATTGGCGTTGATGGGACTTAGGTAAGTTTTACTTTCCTCAAATCTAAATTTTTTTTCTCTCCCATCCTTAAGGACAAAATCCCCTCTCTTCCTCCCTCTGTTTTCTTACCACTGAATCCTTAGCACAAAATCAAAGAGTTAGGCACGTAATAACGAATACGACGATGAAAGATTCCGATGACAACAAGGAGAATCAACGCGGTGACGACAACGGCAAAACGCTCATCCAATTGGTGATGACTATGATCGTGTTACGAGGCCTAGACTCACTGACGTGGTTGTTGCGACAAAGGGGTTTCGGTGAAAGTTAAGGGTTTGAAGATAATGGGTTTAGATTTCTGGTTTGATTGTCGATTTGAGATTGCACGGCGGCGGGATCGGAGAGTTTTTTTTTTTTTTTTTTTTGATACTGTGATTGGAGCAATTGCAATTGTAGCGGGAAGATGGGGTTTTGGATGGTGCTGAACATCTTGGTTCTGGAAGAGAATTTAATTTTGTGTTGGAAAGAGGTTTGTCTTCTTTAACAGCAACTTAACCCAATCCGACATTATTGGCTGTATTGGCCCATCATGGTCAATTGTTAAGCTTCTCACGCTGTATACATGAGAAATCTTATATCCTTTTCCAATGCCAATGTTGAAACTTGTTAACTCTAGCACGCGTTCAGTTAAATTTATATGCAAAATATGGATTGGAATAAAATTTTGCTGGCAAGCCAATCCAGACGATGAATTGAGCTCAACGACATTATTGATGCTTGAAAGCTATGATGGGAGGTGGTGGTGGTTTCTGGTAGTGCTTGTAGTTAGGTAGAAATGGGGGATAGTGGATGCGAACTTGAACGGGGAGAAGGTGGGATTGGGATGGTAGATGATAGAACTACAGTAATGATAAAAAAAATAAAAATAAAATCATAATTATTAAACTTGATTTTGTTATTTTGCTTTCAAAATTTTGAAGAATATGAAATATTAGTAAACATGATTTCATTTTCTATTTCATTTTAAGAAATCAAAATCATACTTTTACTTTTGAAGGAAGCAAGAGTAAAAAAGTGAAAACGTTAGTAAATGGGCCCTAAGAAGTTGTTTTTTCTTATTTTGACAACTATTCATGGCCCAAAACCATAACAGTAGCGCAATACAGGCCAAAAACAAAACGTCTAAAACATCGTTCTCAAATATGCTTTCGATTTTTTTTTCTCAAAACTATCATACAACAAAACATTGTTTATGTTTTAGCCAAAAACAAAACGCCTAAAACAAAGCGCATGCCAAATGGGTCCTTAGATTTCTCTAAAAATAGTTTTCAAATATTTTATAAGGTTATTATTTTTTTTTATGGTAAATGTAAAAAATCTCCTTGAATTATGTCCGAATTTACAAATACCCATTTGAAGTATATATATATATATATTTTTATAATACCTTATGTATCACATTTTGTTACAAAATGCCCCAATGCTTAGACTATTTTTTATTAAATGACCATAATATCCTTTTTCTTATTGAATTGCACTTCAATCTATTTTTCTTATTAAAATAAATTATGAAAAATAATTTATACTATTTTAATTACATATTCTCCATTAAATTAAAAAAAATTTACCTTTAATTTTATGAAATTAATTGTATAAATAAAAAACCCGAGTAGAAAATTTTTAAAAAATTTATGTAATTTCTTAATTTTTCATGAATATGTTGTATGAAAAGAAAGTATTTTTTATTTGAGTAATTTATTAATTTTTTCATGGATATATTGTAAGAAAAATAAGGTATTTTTTTACGGTAAAAAAGTTTGAATTGAGTATAATAAGTTTCATTATAAAAATTAAAGTTGTAATAATAAATTAATAATTTTAGAAAATGGTAGTTTTGAATATACTTATTTATTTTTTCTATTTTTATAATAAATTGATACTAATAATAAAATTAAGGTAAATTGTATAATTAATATTTAGATAAGAGAAGAGATAATAATTTTTTTAATAAGAAATGACAAATTTGACGAGAAAGAGTAAATTAGTCTCTTGTTATATGTTTGTCCTTAATTGCAACAAATTAATAATTTAGGGGGACAATTTGTAATTTAAGTGGGTTATTTGCAAAAGAGCAATAATTCAAATGATTTTTTTTTGCACTTTACCCTTATTTTTACTATAATTTTAGAAAACAACTAATGAAACCTTTGACGGGGCAAAAGAAATATTTATCTTTATTAAGTGAGTAACAACATCAACAACCAACTATTTACTTATTTTTTTTCAATTATTTGGAGTTGACTACATAAATTCTATAATTCTATATTTTCGTACTGCACTATTCATTAGGCGAGTGATGAGTACAAAAAATGAATTCACTTGCTATAAAAAATGCAACAAGTAAATTGTTTGGGCCAATTAATAAGAGCTTGTCCGGCATGCGTTATGATATATATATATATTTTTGATATTGGTATATAAATTTGGGCCCATATCATGTTTGGGCCTACTGATATTGGTTTGACATGGTTCATAACGTATCAAATTTTTTTGCTATAAAATTGTTGTGTATTTGACACAGCCACTTCAATATATTTCATTTCTCATTTCTCCTCTCTCTTTCTCATTTCATTAACTAAAAATTATGTATGGTCCAGATATGACACTGATTGATTGTTATTGGGGGATATATTTTTACACAAAATGTATAAAATAACAGCTGTAGCTAAAAATAAATAATTCAATTTTTTTTGTGTAAATCTATTATGACACAACCGATTTACAAAAAAAAATATACATAACGGTTGGAGATGCTCTAACAGAGTAATTAAAGCAAATTTCTCAAAACAAAATTTTGTTATCATACATGGTTTGATTTTTACCCAAAATATTTTTACAACAAAACAAAACAATTGTTTTGAAATTAACAAAAACATAATGTTTAAAACACATTGCATACTTATCGGTTCCTAACATGACCAACCTCACGAGACCAATGCATCCATTAGGACTATATGTCTATATATGGTATAGCAGCAGTGGGAAAAGAAAAGAACATTGGTTAAGACATCCTCTTATATATTTGATTAATTAGTAATAAAAAAAGAAGAAGTGAAATCTATTCATATTTCAAAAGAAAAAAAAACACTATTTCATTTAACATTTTGTTATTGCTCTTTACAATTTTACTGATGGAGTTGTTTTATGAGATATCCTTCTTTTTAGTTCCTTTCATACTTTTAAAGGACAATTTAAGCACTGTTATTGATGTTGTTAATGGGACTGGGATGGTGTACTTTTTATTTACTGCACCATCAAGTAGTTTTAAATCAACTGTGTAAACTGATACAACACTGATACAACAATCGATACAACTTATTATATCAAATTGCAAATTTACAATACTATTAAAATGAAAAGATTCTGATTCGGGGTTAGTGGAACTCATTTTTTTTTTATTGTATATCCTTCCAAAATTTCATAAAAGGTTTCTTTTTCCTTCTCCTTTCCTTCTAAAGTATTGTTTCAAATCAAACAAGTCTGAAACTTTACCGCTTATTCGGATCGAGTGTAACCCTGTTCATTGTTGACCCGAACCCATATGTTGCCCGAGACCAAACACAACGGCACGACCACTTCTCTCAATAGTCATTAGTCTGAACTCTCAACTGAAAATCATTGACCAGTTTACTACCCGAGCACGACCACTGCTCCTAACAACTCTCTCTATCCTCTCTCTCTCTCTCTACTCTGCAACGATGTCGAACTTCTCTCACCAGATGAGGCTATCTTCGTCTCTGATCAGACGTTTGCACCAAAGAATCAGTGCTCTGAACACTAGATCTTTTACTACAATTGAAGGTCATCGTCCCACTATCGTTCACAAGCGCAGTATCGATATTCTTCATGATCCGTGGTTCAACAAGGTGAGATTTGAACTTCAGACTGAGTTGTCGTGATTTCAATTTCAAGATCGGGTTGGTGTTTCAACGAGACTGTGATCTGTTTGCTTGATTTGATTCTTAGTTACCTATGTGTTCATCGATTAATCCACAATCATTATTTTTCTAAACGAGTTTCGTTGATTACACAAACGTCTTTTGCACGAATGGGATGTGGTTTCCAATTCCGAGTTCTCTACAATTTAACCTTACATTTGGTGTGTGTATATACTCATTGAAATCGATGACGAAGCAATTAGAAGTAAGTAGGTTATTAGCTTAAAACGTGTTGATTTTGTTTAGGACTGTTGCTTTTGATTTTTCTTTTTAATATATGCAGTATTGAGCCTCAAAATAGATGTGGAATTCAAATCTGACTTTCTTATGTACGATTATGATACCAGGGAACGGCATTCTCCATAACAGAACGAGATCGTCTTGATCTTCGCGGACTTCTTCCTCCAAATGTTATGTCTCGTGAACAGCAAATTGAACGCTTCAGTAAGTTTCTATCCCCTCTCAGTTTATACTATTCTTGTTTAAATTTGATTGTACAACTAAGATTAAAAAGTGGCTAATTTTTCAACTTGGATAATGATTTTTACCCTTAGCATGCTTTGGTCACTGGAAAGAGTTATTCACGATGTTTGTATATTACGGACACAAAAATATTCCTGGAACTGTTTCATTTTATTGCTACAAGGGTAGATCTCTCTAGCCGAATTACAGTCATGGCCTGATTACTGGCCTCTTGACCAAGGTTGCTTGCTTGCTCAAAATGACAAAGGATCAGTCAATCTAGCTATAAATGAAGTTGATTTATCTGGTTCACCAAAAAAAAACAGATATTCCTTTTGTTTGGTTCCTTCTAGAGCTTTAAATTGTTATACTTTTTTAAAGTATGGAATAATTTACTGTTTTCATGAAAAGCATTAGTGAATGGTGTATATAAATTTTCATTTCTATTAGTATTCTTACACTCCAGTGTTTATCATTTTTGAATTATAGTGTATGACTTGAAGAGGCTTGAGGTACACGCTAGGGATGGACCTTCCGACCCATATGCTGTAGCCAAGTGGAGGATACTCAACCGGTTGCATGACAGGAATGAGACAATGTACTACAAGGCCAGTGAACTACATCCTTTTATTTATTAATAGGTTTCATCCTTCTATTTTCTTTATACACTACTGTTGTCTAAAACTGTAAGGAAATTACTATAATATTAGTAGAAGTTTTTGGCACGCTTATAAATTATAATAGAATTTAAAAATTTATGAAACCAGTTGAGTCCAGTCACTACTACTCTGTGTTAAGTTTTCAGATAAAAGCTTTTTGAATCACTGCCACAAGTACTTCGCAGTAGCACTATGCCACCAAAACTAAAACCAGCTTTAAGCTCTTACAAACTGTCTGTCTGTCCAAGGAATGCTTTTAGTTATATTGGGAAGGCTGTTTTTCTTGGCCAGTCTGTAGCAAAGTTCAGATTGTGTTGATGTAATTTATGTCCCGACTTAGTAAATGAAGGAATTGCGGATTGATAGCTGATTGAAAAAATTGTGCAAGCTCATACCTCAACCCTAAGGATATTGTTGATACAATCTTATGGATCCACTTGTAAAATGTGCCCACATAGTTGTTGTGGGAACTGGTAAACATAAATAGGAGCAAGGTATGGAGTTTTCCTCTAGGAAGTATTGAACAGACTCTAGAAATGCAACTTGTAAAAATAGTCGATCAATTCTGTTATTGTGTTGTGCAAGTTATAAAAGCCCAAGATAATGTGATTTTCCTTTTTCTATCACATATCAATGTGATCTATAGGGCCAACTTTTTGCAGTTATGGGGTATCCGGCACATTATGCTGTAAAGATAATGTGTGACTAGCTTGGATATCTTGCAAATTTTAGCGATTCTGCTTGATTCAGGTTCCTTTTCTACCTTTTTTTTTTTTTTTTTTTAAATTTTTTTTTTTTAAATTTAAAATAAATACTTTTTTATGCCTTCAACTAGAACTTAATAGAACATAAATCTATACTTCATCAACCATGACTGAAGCCCACAGTAGTTGGCTACTAGCCTGCCGTCAAACTATGGCCATTGCCACCTCACCCTACAATGTTACTACTATTACTGCATTGGCACCCTTACTATTTGATGACATTCGTCCCTAGTCCTTGCACAATTGTTGGTTGCAGGGGCATTTATAGTGGACATTTGTCATGTGTCATGATGCCACCATATGCCTAGCTTGGTTTATATATTTTCTATATTGCTTCTTTCAAACTATATTAGATTATGTTTTGCATTTCATTCTGGCGGAGGTACTTGAAACATTTATAATGTCTAAACCTATCTTTCTCAGTGCTTTAATTTATTTTACTTTTTTTTTTTTTTAAGTTACACTTAGATTATTATCAGTTCATGCGCTGAACCGCGATGTTGTTTCTTGATTTTTGACAGGTTTTGATTGCCAATATTGAGGAATACGCACCTATAGTTTATACTCCTACTGTAGGCCTTGTTTGCCAGAATTACGGTGGATTATTTAGAAGGCCAAGGGGGATGTACTTCAGTGCTGAAGATCGTGGAGAAATGATGTCAATGGTTTATAATTGGCCGGCTGATCAGGTTTGCGATAATTGCAAATGATGACAGTAAAATTATTTTATTCAACGGGTTGATGCCTCTTGAAAATTAGAAGCTGTTACCACTTGATTGCTATGCCAATGCCCTTAGACATATCTTGTCAAGAATATTCAAACGTTTTTGGATATGCTAATCTTTTTCTCAGAATATTTATTACTCTTTTGGGATTTGAAATCATGCCTTCTCCTTTATTGGTTGGTTTCAACTTATATTTGTTTTGATTATTCTCTGAAGTGTTTCTAACATATGGCATCTATCAGCAACTCTTGTAATTTTCTTTTTCATTTTTATTCTTTTTGCTATCCTGAATTGTGCTTTGCTATACTGAGATAACGGTTTGAACAAACAATACCAGCAATCTGAGTTGGTGATCCTTTTTGGCTGCAGTGGGCTTGGTTAGCTCCTTATATTTTTCATTCACTCTTTTGCCGAGTTTTGCAGCTTGACATAGCATTTCTGGAGAAACTGCTTCTTTCTTGAGTCTCTTACTCAAAGTAATTTGGTGGCTGTAGATCTCACTCAGCTACTTATAATACACTTCTTGTTTGCTTCTTGTGTTCTAGTCTCTTCACCACTCTTTGACTTTACTAGTTTGGATATTGTGTCTACGTATCCCCTTATTTTTTTCAATTTTATTCCTACTTACCTGAAATCAGGCTATACCTTTTTTTTTTTTTGAAAGTAGGAAGATAAAAAAAATTCGAAGGTTTATAAGAATTTTGAGCTCCATTTGTGGCCCGGTCTGACTGATGATTGTTGTCATTGTCAACAGGTAGCTCATGTCTACCATCAATGGATACGAGGGACAAGTTAAACTAATTAGAAAAAATATGGGACATTTGTAGGACTTTATGGGCATAACATCATATACGAATCATATTGTTGCTCCCTTTTTTTCTTTTTCCTTCTTAAAAGTTGGCATTGTCTGTGATTAATGAGTGCATATATATTTATATATATGCATCTTCATTTCCCTTCCTCTCACCCCCCAACATACAACACACACAAACACCTAAAAGGAAAAACGGCTGGAATTATATGAATCTCTCCTTCGATTTTTGGCTTTGATTGTGATATGTATTGATGAATGCATTAGGCCACATACATCACATTTCACTTTTTTCTCGCTGTATTCATTTCAGTATTGGTAATTCTCAATTAATATTAAAGCTATTCAGTTTTGATCATTCACATTTAATGTAGGTTGATATGATTGTTGTAACGGATGGAAGCAGGATATTGGGTCTTGGAGATCTTGGAGTTCAGGGTATTGGAATTGCAATTGGGAAGCTGGACTTATATGTTGCTGCTGCTGGGATCAATCCTCAGAGAGTATATTCTCTCTTTACATAGCTGTCTATTTTACATATGAATTTGTTTGAATTACAGTTTCTTGTGAGTTATTTATATTTCTTAAGGCATACAGAGTTCTTTGGCTGTTGTTTTGTGGAGGTTGTATTTGCATTCTCAGCAGTGAGAATGCGCAGTCTTATTGGTTTGTTTTAATAATTTAATATTTCTAATGCAATATTACAGTATCACCTCCCCTGTGACCTTGTTTGATAAATGCCTATTATATAAATAGGTATTTAGGAAGCATAGTGAAGCAGGAAGGAATTCTGTTTTACAAAAGTTGAAGTAAGATTGCTAAAATTTTAATTGTTGTTTATAGTATGATTAGTATCTAGTGTTCTCTGTTTGCTTCCATTTCTTGACCTCATGGATTTTGGTGTAATCATTTATTGCTTGTTCTCTACCAATTTTTTTCCTTGTATGGGTGTTTATTACTATTTTATTTTTTTGTTCATGTTTTTTTTTTTTTGCCTTCTTGATATAGGTACTTCCTGTCATGATTGATGTTGGAACTAACAATGAGAAGCTTCTCAAAGACCCATTGTGTAAGAATTTTTTTATTTTATTTGATTGTGCTGACGAAGTTCCGAAGACATCATTTGCAAATACTGTTTTGTATTTTGTAGTTTTGTACTATAAACAACTAATTTTTTTTCCTAATTCTCTAAACAACTATTGACCATGTCAACTTGGTAACAAAGAATTAAAAGTGATTTTTGACACACTTTTCTATCAGTTTAAGCTTTTAGTGTAAGTAGTTCTATGACCCATCACCCTCCAAAGTAAGAAATACAATTCTTGTTGCTTGACCATTTCATGTCTTCATGCTGCAAGTTTGAAGTCAGGAACTCTTCTCAGTTCATGACTCCAAACTCAAGTCCTGGGTTTTACCAACTTGGGGTAGAATGAGATGGAGATTTGTAACAACAAAAAGTTGTAAATTTCATGTGGAGCACAAAGCGGATTTTTTATAATCATGTTTAGGTGAATTTGAATATTAATTTTTTTCTTTTTTGTTTTCGGTTTTGCTATTGCTTCAAATTATTTATATTTTCTTATGTTTAAGGAGTCCAGGGTGCATTTGTAAGTTCTCAATTGGACAGCTCTGTGTTACTAGTCCAAGAGTCTTATTATTTGTCTCTATGTGTTTTCCATCTTTATGTTCTTTGATAGGTCTATTGATGTAGGACCAGTGTTGTCAAAGGTGCTCGCCTAGGCTCTAGGCTCATATAGGCACAACACTTGCACTTGTTTTCTGCCCAGGTGTGCATTTGACAACACTTGCGCCTTTAATATGGAATATGAATGCTTTAAAAGTAATTTAATTTTTTAATTATACGCCTCGCTTCCCTCAGGTGCGCGCCTCGCCTTGCGCTTAGGCTCCAAAGGACCTCTAGCGTCTTTTTGCGCCTTGGGCCTTTGATAACACTGTGTGGGGGACACTTCTAGAAGCTAATTTCGAAAATTGATATGGGGCAGCTTTAAAGAGGGTTTGTTTGTTAAAAGTTTTGGTCAGATTTTCTGCCTAAAAGGCTGGCAAGAATATAGTGTTTCAGGGCTTGCATAAGTGTAAGAAAGGGAAAATGTTTGGAGTGTTGATTCGGCAAACAATACTATGATTTGGGGGTCGTTTAGTTAGTACTATGGACAGTACCTGTGAATGGTATATGTGAATAATAAAGGGGTTGTTTGTGTATCTTTGGAGGACCCGAATTGTTTATTGAAAGGGAGAAGAGTTATAACTGGGCGCCCAAGTGGTATGAACTGTCCTCCCTAAAAGAGAGGTGACTGGTTCGTGCTGATATGGGACAGTGTGTTGTGTGTGTGCGTGCACATTTGTTGCTTACCTAGCGAAAAATTATAGCAAAAAAGAAAAGAAAGAAAGGGAAAAGAATTAAAAATGGGCTTAGACTGGTCTGGTTGTAGAGTTTATAAAGGATTATCATCAAAGGAAAGAAGAAAGATAAAAGAGGCTAGGCATCACACCTAGATACCCTTATGGATAACACTTACGTTTTGTTTGTGTTGAAATTAGGGTTTGAAGAGAAGTACATGGATTGCTTGGGAAAAGATATATAAGAGAGTAAAATCTGATCTTCCTTACTCCATAAATATATGTACAAGAGTAAAAGACTAAAATAACCTTATTGGGTAAGCTAATTACAAGTGTGCCCCATATATAACTATTCTAACAGTTTGGTTGGAAGGATGGAAGAAAGAAGGAATGAGGATGCATGATTGCACTTATGCTTTGTTTTATTTGGGTTAATTAGACTCACCTTCCCTTAGGTATAGCATGATTACACAGGCTTCCGCTATTGATTTAAACATCACACTATTTATTATACATTTTTGCCCTCTTTGGTTTTTTTTGATCAGGTGTACTCACACTCTTTTGCCCACGCCGGGGGTCGAACCCCTCCCCTCCCCTCCTCTTTGAAGATGGGGAGGTTATACCGTTGGACTAGTAACAAGATAAGACAAATATGATACTTTCAATTCTAATGTTGCTGATATACTTTCGAATCAAATTTTGTTGACAAAAGCATATTTCTTTCTTTGAATCTTGACTATTTATGTAGAGAGAATTTGTAATCTTGGGGGATTCATTGTAATTTTTGAATCAACATAACAGACCTACACAATAATGCTATACTGTAGGGGAGATGAGTGTAATATACGTGCTCTCTCTCTCTCTCTCTGTGTCTTTTAGTTTATGGATCAATGTACATTTTTGGATGGCTGGAACAATAGATATGTTTAAGAAAAAGGGGGATTAGCCTAGTACACAAGTTTCCCCACTGTAGGGTCTAGGAGAGGCATGTGGAGAGGCTGTGCCCTGTTTCGAACCCGTGACCTCCCTCATAGATACACTATCATCTTATTTGGATTTGATATGTTACTTCTAAATTTTTCCTAGAAACTTTTGGGTATTAGCATCTCTGGCTTTATTGGCATGAACCATTATAAATCAATTCTCTCACATTTAAATATCCTTAAAATTATGTGCATGCTTTCAGATTTTTTTAATTTTTTTAAAAAATAATTTTTTATTTATGAAAGAAAAAACAAATTAATGATGTTAATAATCTGTGCCTATAGATTTGGGATTGCAAGAACACCGGCTTGAGGGAGACGAGTATATTGCAGTCATCGATGAATTCATGGAAGCTGTTTTCACTCGTTGGCCACATGTGATTGTACAGGTGTTTTCCTAATTGTTGCATAAGTTTATTTTCAAATGGCAGCCAATTCACATTGAATTTTTTTGCTTTCTTCTTTTGAGAAGACACTGATATAATTTGGAGTAATGCAGTTTGAAGATTTTCAAAGCAAGTGGGCCTTCAAGTTATTGCAGCGTTATAGAAATACCTACAGAATGTTTAATGATGATGTCCAGGTAAACAACTTTCTCAGTAATAAAGTGATAGCATCTCATACTTTTGTATTGTGCCATGATATATGTTAATTTGATTGATATTGTACTGAAATCATATTATAGTAATCTGATCACCCTCTTCAACGTTTGGTCTATGTGTAATTTCAAGAAAGCTTGTCATCTTACTTGAGATACTTCAACAATCAAAATATTATTTTTCATTCATGTTGTACCATCTGGCCTTAAATGATCCAAGTATGCTGCATCACTAATGCTTGAATAATTCTTTTAATGATCTTGTGTAACATTATGTGTCAACAGATGACAAGAACCGGAATCACGAAGTATATTGATAGGTTATATCAATAACCTTTTGTGGTACTGCAAGTTCCTGGTTCCTCTGGTATCGACAGTTCGTAATCTGAAAAAATGTCAACCAATCTCTATATTGTATTCGCTTGAGTGTAATACCGGAATGGAAGGGTAGCACTGCACATAAAACCCTATTTCTTTGTTAACCTTTTGTATACTTTGTATGTAAATGGATTCCACTACCTTTGCATCTTTAGCGAATGTTCCTACTGAAGAATACATAGAATACCCTGTTGACTCAAAACATTCTAATAGTACTTAACCCTTTGAAACAATCGAGCTCTCCCTTATTATATTTATGTCTTGGCAAACCTAAGGCTGCCAAGAGCTTAGCCTGTGGTCAACTATGTGGGAAATGAATTTGAGCCTAAAGTGGATGTTGCTTAAAATCGAAGATAATAATTATATATAGATGTACTTATCAAAAAAATATTTATATATAGACGTATTAGAAGGCATTAATACGAGTACTAGCACCATCTTACAAAGCCTTCAATTTGTGAGGAATATAACAATTTGAAACTTTAAATGGAAAAGGAGTTGATGTATCTGCATTTAAAATTTTTCTCATGTTCCTCAGCTTAGTTAGTGCTACCTTTTTGAATAATGAGTTGGACCTCCAGAGTTTATCCTATTGGTTGCTGCTCATTCATTTATTCTCTCTTTGCTTTCTGGATTTTTGTACAATTTTATATGAATTGTTGAAAGTTTTTGCTTTAGAGAATCATATTCAATTTGAGACCTGAGAATTTGTATGTCAATGACATGGTTAAATATTTTTAACTTTATTCTTGACATCTCGAGTTACTTTATCCTTGTGGACCTGCATGATTCACTGTCAATTTACAATATAGGGGACAGCAGGAGTAGCAGTTGCTGGTCTTTTAGGAGCTGTAAGGGCACAAGGAAAACCAATGATTGATTTCCCGAAACTGAAAATCGTTGTTGCTGGTGCTGGAAGGTTCGATACTTGTCATTTTACCTCTCTCTCTCTCTCAATGAACTTTTCCCATTCAAGCGTCTCTACATTGTAGAGAAAGATAAGTGGTTTACAACGAATCCAGTAGAAGTCAGACAAGGTTTCATGTATGCATCAGACAGAGTCCAACTCCAACATTTTAGACAATTTTTATGAGTTATAATTGTTTTTAAATAAGTAGAAGAGTTAAATTAGAATGTAGTGTATGATTTTTGTAACCTAGGAATTATTTCGGCTTTTTGGTAAAGAGTGCTTGCTAGTGAATGAAGACGTTGTGACGGAGTACAAAATACAGTGAAAGGAAATTTAGAATGACAGAATTCATACAAAATTAGAATTAGCTGGAAATTAGGGCAAGATGATTGAAAAGTTGCTGAATTGTCTGATCATGTAAATATAGTCAAGGTGATAGGATGGACAAGGTGAAGGTCAACCAATAAACGAAAAATGAGAGGAAGAAGAAAGAAGGGGAAAAAAAAAACTTGTTTTGAAGCTATGAGAAATTGATGAAGTTTTATGTTTTATTTCAAGATATGTCTATAAACAAAGCAGAGGATTTGTAGAGCTGATAAGGTGGGTAGGGGTGTAGTTGAATTAGGTTGAGTTTTAGTAAATACCCCTTTGCTTTAGAAGTATGTGTGTTCTTGTTGTGCTGTGTTGAATTTATTATTTATTTCTGTTTTGCATGGAGGTTAATTTTAATTTCTAAAGCATGAAATGGACACTGTTAATAGGATACACGCAGCTCCCATGGTTTTCATCTGAGCAATGAGTTCAACATTACAGAGTTGTTTAACCATTTTAGTTTTTGATGTAGTGGTATTATTGAGCAGATTAATAACTTAAGTAAGTTCCCTTTTTCTTTTTCCCTTCATTAGTCCAGGGTTAGAAAATCTTAATATTCTTACTAATTTTTCATGGTAAAATTTTATCTGTAGTTTCAGATTAAGATTTAGTTTGGTTGTTGACAAAATTTATTTGTTTTACCTCTCTGTTTTATATTTTTGAAGACATGCAAATCTGCTAATTGGTTTTGGCTGAGTGGTTGATTGCTCTGGTCTTGAAAACGCACACAAGCAAACAAAGGAAATCTGCTTAACCTTCAGCTATTGCAGTGCAGGAATAGGGGTTCTTAATGCTGCTAGGAAAACAATGGCAAGGATGTTGGGAAATAATGAATCTGCTTTTGAAAGTGCACGTAGTCAATTCTGGGTAGTTGATGCCAAGGTGAGTATTTTTATCATATCCATTCACTCTCCCAAAGTTGTAGTTTTGATACTAAGTTTGAACTTTGAGAGTTGTGCATTCAAATTAACCTGGTGGAAGCACAGTTGTGGTGCTAGACGGCCTAGAGGGTGGAGGGTTAATCAAGTCTCTTTTTCATGATGATTACTTGAAGATCCATCAATTACCAGTTTTTAATCTTAGTTCCATTAATCAATTATGCATGCATAGAAAATCAGTCAAACAACCAAAATAAAAAGACAACGATTTATATGGAAAATCCCAATATGGAAAAAGCATGATGACTCCATGGAATGCATCAGTTTATATTCTGGTTATGCATGTATTGTCTGTTATTCTGGCTAAAGTATTTGGTGTTTTCCAGTTCAGTTTTCTCTGGCATATATATTGCTACTGTTGTGGTCATCTGATCCTTGTTTTCTGCATTGTCACACTAGATGCATGTGTGATTCATTAATTCTCAATTTTATGTGCTCCATCAAATGCTCTATTGAGAACCTTTTGTTACCCAATAAATGAGTCTAGAGGGGGGGATAGTGTCTATGGCAAAAATGGCTAATTTTCCGGATTAAAAGATTATGCAAATCTAAGCAAAAATGGCTAAATTGTGAAAGATGAATATAACAATATAAGCAATGTAAGCACAATAAAATATGAGATAAGGGAAGAGAAATTGCAGACTATAACGCGCTGATTTAGCGAGGTTCAGAACTAACTCCTCGGCTTAAGATCCCTCTTGAGACTTTCCCAAATCCACTATGACTTCTCCTTTCGGGTGAAGAGCAAACCTTTACAATGAAGGAAACTTGCTTCCTTCCTTCTTGCTAAGAGAAAAACCTCCTCTTAGGTTTCCTCTGTGTCACACCAACCCTTTGGGTTAAACCAATCCTTTAGAATAGTTTGTAGGAAGAATATGTGTACAAGAATATCTCTCAAAAGATTGATATACAAATCAAATGCTTGCAAGACTAGAGTAGATATGAAATAAAGTTGAAGCTCAAGTCTATTGATGAAATGGGAGAGAGAATCAAAGATTGTATTGAATGCTCGTAAATGTCTCTCCAGTGTAGTAGTTCTTCTTCATAAATGCACAACCCTATTTATAGAGAAATTCTGCAGAGTATGGCTGTTAGAGGTAGGTGGGGGAGCATTAAATACTAAACTAGCCGTTATAATTCAAACCCAACAGGTTTCGGTCGGCTGAAAGAAGTTTCGGCTGGCTGATAACTAAATTGGTCGGCTGAAACCCAGTTTCAGGCGGCTGAAACCCAGTTTCAGGAGGCTGAAACGGCATTTCATTTTAGCATGCTCACTGCCTCAATTTAGGTCCAATACCTGTTGGCTGAAAGTTTCACCAGTCGGCCGAAAGTACCTAAATGTGAATTTTGACTACCTTTTAAGGTGTCTTTGGCCTTGTAATTCGTGTAGGTTAATTTTGAATAAATCAATAATGTTCATGACCTACTTGTAGGTTGTTTCAGGGTCAAAGATAACGATATGAATGATTTATACATGATCCTATAGAGATGAGCTTCAAAAAGAATTCATAAATACTTTAACAAATAAATCCTAAGCACTCACCAACCTATCTATCCCTTTCTTCAAGCTTTGGCATTGATCATTGAGCTTTAGGGATTCTTCCTTGATCTTCAAGTTGCATTCTTGGCCTTTGAGGTCCAAGTCAACTTTGAACGCTCAATGCTTTGACTTTTTGGATCTTTGAGTCATTTCCATGTCCATAGTTTCATCATGAATGTCTTCATGTATAATGGAATGGTTGGAATGTGACTCTGATCTCCTTTACTTCATTGAGATCAATCTTGGAAATATGACAAATCTAGCACAACACTCAATGTAAATATTAGTGCCTAAACACTATTAATGGTTTGTCATCATCAAAATTACTAGATTGCCCTTAGGTCAAAACCTTTGGGCCAACACCTTTAAGTACCTTTGTATCCCTGCCACTGCCTATAGTTTATTGGCTCTATTGACAAGCTGGATATATAGGATCAATCAATTGAAGTATGCTAAATCTTCATGCAGGAGTCAAGAATTAATTTTTTATACAACAGCAATACCAGCCTCATAAGTCTTGTCAATAGAACTCTTCCTATCCTATCACAGAAGAAAAGACTGTCACTGTAACTTCTATGTCACACAATCTGATGGTTTATATGCATCTTTGGAAGTGGTGTTCAATTTCTTTGTTGTGGAAGGTGTTAGGACCTCTATGTAATGCTGGTCTTTCTGCTTTTGCATCCTTGTAATGCTAATCATCTCTTTTTGTATAATGGCGGTGGATTTAACCTTTGAATATATTTTTTATTATTATGCAGAACTAAATGAGGTTTCTTATCACCGGGCAAATATGATAAACTAAAACATTTTTGTGTGAACCCAGGGCCTGATCACAGAGGAGCGTGAAAGTATAGATCCAGATGCCCTTCCATTTGCAAGGAAGGTCAAAGAGGTTGGTCGTCAAGGATTGAGGGAAGGGGCAAGTCTTGTGGAAGTGGTATGTGAAAAATTGCAGACTTCATACTAGTTAACAAGTAATGTGGTTGTTGACTAGTTTTCATTTTACTTAGTTGGCTATCGGGTGCTGTTAGGTACATGCGATCACACAATAGGTGGGAGGCCAAGTTGGTTTCTGAAAGATTCTAATTTGATATTTCTTTGAGATTCATTTTATGTCTCCTTTGAATCGAGTTTACTTTCTTTGCTAATGTGGGGGTTGAACCCTGGTTCTAGTGTACAGTTGCCCCCAGGTATTTACAAATTCGATACCTATCTCTAAGGTAATTGTGGGGCATAATTTGACAAAAGCAATATGTGGTGTCAGTGTATTGAATAAAGCAAACTTCAACTGATTATGTTTCCTTTTATGTGCTCTTCACAAAGTAACTCAGTATTTAAATTGGATAGATTGATAATTGGTGCCGGTGGTAATATAAATTTTGCATGGGGGAAATGTTTTTTGTATTTGTAACAGTTATATCCACATGAAGGAGAGCTTGTATTGCTTCTCTCTTAATAATTACTTTTCTCAATTAGACTTCCTCTCCCCTCACCCTAACAAAAAAAAAAAAAAAGTCCCAACTTATCGTACTTTCGTTATTGTTTGTTAATCAGGTGCAGCAAGTAAAGCCTGATGTGCTTCTTGGATTGTCTGCAGTTGGGGGCTTGTTCTCTAAAGAGGTATGGAAGGAATCAGATGGCTTTCCAATAAGAATTTTTTTTGCCTTTTCTGTATTTACCAACTTTGGAACTAAAATGCATGAAGGAATCTTGCCCCTTAGAAATTTTATGTCTCCAGAATCATACACATATCAGAAATGCATTTATATATCAAGCATGACGTTATGTAATTAGAATTTAATGTTCTTTGACATAGGAAGCCCCCAAATCTGCTTAGGTGACACTTCCTCACATGTTTAAAGAGCTTTGTCATGATATGGAAGACAAAAATTTATGCAAAGTCCATACACTATAGAGGAAATGATGAAATTTAACTGTACTTGCTGTGATGCTTTGCATCCATATCTTAGTTTTAAAATCACTTTAGAAGATACATGACCACATATGGTAGAATTTATACTGATCATATTTGGTCTTGACAAAAGTTTGACGCTGGCTGCTAGAATTTGTAGTGCATCATATTTGGTCTTGACAAAAGTTTGACGCTGGCTGCTAGAATTTGTAGTTCACAATTATAGCATGTTAACCAGTTTGTGGAATTTTCATTTTCATTTTTTTTTTTTTTCTCATTTACCATGTCACCTTTTTACAAATAACAAATGTGTCAGTTACAGGACTCTATCCTGCCTTTCAAGCAACATACATAAGATAATAACCCATGACGGTATTCTTAAGTGTCCATGTATAAGAGACAGCACAACTGACTGATGCAATCATATGTCAAAGCAAATTGAAAGTTATATGGCCCTCATCCCATCATTTGCTTTTCTTATCGCATACTCCACATTGACTATTGGCAACTTTGTAAAAGGTTACTGTTAGCATGGATTTGTGCTATGTCATTATGTTATTGTTTAGCAGCCTGCATTTTTTATTTTGAGGTCAGGACACAAACAAGCAAGGATCCCTGTAACATACGTGAACACTTTTGTTCAATTACATGAGTAGCTGCTAAACTTAACTCATTCTCTTGTATTTTAGGTATTAGAGGCCCTTAAAGATTCAACTTCAACTAGACCAGCAATTTTTGCAATGTCAAACCCAACAACAAATGGTAGGTTCTTCGATGAAAATTCACATACCATGACCTAAATTGTTGCTCATATTGTTCATAAATTATTCTTGACAGCTGAATGCACCCCTGAAGAAGCATTTTCCATTGTGGGTGACAACACTATATTTGCAAGTGGAAGCCCATTTAACGACGTAGATCTTGGTATGTATTTTAAACAGCGTGTTGAATGATCTTGGTACTTTCTATTCTTTTACTCTACTTTCATATTTCATACTGTGCGATGGATAAATCTGATATGGACAGGATATATGCTGTGACCCTTAAAGTGCTGATAAGACACTGAATTATGAAGTGTGTGTAAAAACAACTGGTAGTACATGACATATCAACTTTTACCCCCTTGATAATTAAGTCAAACAAATATTATTTCTGGCTTCTTGGATGCATTACCTATATCTGGCCAATTCAGGTTCCCAGGAGCTGAATTAGCAGTGTCTATGTCTCGATAAATTGAATAATACAGTACAGATTCAAATAATTTTCTGGTAGATTTAGTTTGAAAATGGTCATCTTTAATTTTAATTTTAATGATGATGATAACTTTAATAACAACTACAATAGTAGCAACAACAGCAATAGTAAAAACCCACTATCTATGTCGACGGAAAGGGGTAAGAAACTAATGACTACATCTATCAAATGTAAACTTAAGAAAACAGGAATTAATTAAATAGCAATATCTTTTTCTTTTTTAAAATTTATTGAATAAAATGGTATTTTTCTGTGACAGAGTGTTCAACATGGACACTGCATTTGTTTCAAGTACTTTGAAAGGAACATAATGAGAGAATATTTTGTAGAATCATATTGTAAACTTGAATTATCGGGTATGCTTGATAGTTGCATTTTGACTAGACATGTAGAATGCATATCTACTCATACCCAAGTGTCATATGTCCAATAGGTAACATAAAAAAAAAGATCAAAAAAAAAGGTAACATAAAATAATAACGAAGAAGGGAAGCATCGGTAGAGCCACACAAGTCTAAATGGGTTCTTCGGGATATTAGGAAGTGTTAAGAAGTTCTATTATATAGAAAATTAAGTTGGAATTTAGCCTTATTTGTTTGAAGTTACAATGCAGCTTCTGTTCCAAATCGTCTGTCTTGCGGTTGTCTATTTTTTAGCTTTTGATATGTATTAGATTGGTTTTAACGTGTTGTAGTTTGTTTTGTTTTTATAATTTTGGTTTGTATTTATAATAATAATGACATTATAATAAAGTCTATTATTCTCTAATTGTATTAAATTTGCAACTCATGATCATAATAGTCAATGATCATGATACAACATACAACATTTAGTCACATGTTCGTGAGTGTCCGATATGAATCCTAAATTGAGAATTTTACTTCTAGTTATGGACACTTAGATGTATCTAACACTGTCTGAGGAACTGTCAGATTTTTCTGTGCCTGACTCATGGCGAATACGGGGACAGCTACTTTTTAGAAGTGTTTGCGCTTCTCAGACGAACAGTTTTAAGACCATAATTATCTTTATCTTGTGCAACATTCTTCGTCTCCTAGACCAAGAAGACTTTACCCTGTGATGAATACAGGTCACAGTAGTATATATACTACACCTGAATGCCAAAGCACATAATATTTTGCTGCACAATGCCAAAGCACTTGCACATGCACTCATTTATTCTGCTCGATGTCCTCTCTTCTTCTGCATAATCTAATCTGCCATAGCTTACTTAATTTGTTTTTTCTTCAAGTTACCAAAAGCAATTATTTGATCAATTTACATGTATTTTTTCAAATGCTACAGGAAATGGTCATATTGGCCATAGCAACCAGGGAAACAACATGTACCTTTTCCCTGGGTAAGTTATCTGATTTCCATCTATGAAGGGAGAGCTGATCTAAAACTTTCTTTCACCTTTTTTTTTGGTTTAAAATTTCTATGTATCTGATTGTGCAGGATTGGACTCGGTACCCTGCTATCTGGTTCTAGGGTCATCTCTGACGGCATGTTACAGGCTGCAGCGGAGTGGTATTTCTTGAATTTATTTTTTTATTATTATTTTTGTTTAAAAATTTGTGTTGAGAATTGAAATTGACTTGGCAACAAGTTCAGGATGAGAGATTTATTCAGCTCTTATAACAATTCAGAATTTAGTAACATAAGCTTGCAAACAAATCTGGACTTCTTGAGGGAATGTGACATAATATGCAGTTTGATCTACAAGAGTGATTGGAACAAAGAAAAAATAAATGGTCATAGTTGAAAGGAGGTTGGAAGCAAGTTTGTGTTCTAAATAAAGGCCTATGTCTGGACCCTTTGGAATATTTTGGATATCATTTACAAGTTGCAACATTGGTGATACAACTGATATATAAGTAATTAATTTACTTTGTTTAGACTTGGCTGGTTATTGTAACAAACGCATAGACGTGTCGAGTCCCAGATCAGGTGTGTATTGGGTGGTCTTAGGGTTTTAAGTGGGTCTGGGAACCGGTAAGCGACTAGTCCTTTTGGATGTGGAACTGGCATTGTGATAGTGGCATTATAACTGGTCTGGGGGTATTGCCATGTGATCTGTAGACGTATTCAAATTCCCGCTTTGCGAGGTCCTAGATTCTTAAGTTGGTATGGGAACCTCACAAGTGACTAATCCCATGACAAACACGCTGAAAAGAATTTGGGCATAGTCAAGCTTCATATATATATATATATATATATATATATATATATTCTTCCAATTGTTAAGAAAACGCTGTAGCTGGTTTTCTGTTCTTTAGTTTTCTAACATTTAATTGAAAACTACAGCTTAGCTGCTTATATGACAGAAGAGGAGGTTATCAGAGGGATCATATATCCTTCAATATCCAGGTAACCATTAAGAATTTTTGGCAGAGTGAAAGGCTTTAATAGAAATGCTTTGCACCTGGGCATTGATCTCATTCGTATATACAGCATTCGTGATATAACAAAGGAGGTAGCTACAGCTGTGATTAAGGAAGCTATAGAAGAGGATTTGGCAGAAGGATACCGCGAAATGGATGCCCGAGAACTCCAGAGACTTAGTCAGGTATTTGTTATAATGCCAAATTCTTTTTTACTTATTTGTCTTCTTGGCATTTCTTGGTTGTTAATGGCTCTGGACCCTTGGTTGTTAATTCTTAAATTGCCATGAGTTGCAAGCTCTATCATGCCATGCTTGGCATGCACATAAATTCAAAAGTTGATGCATTGCATTTAGTTATTGTTTGCTTGCTGCATAAATTCAAAATAAGGAAGAATATAATAGTTATTGTTTGCATTTTGCTATGATACAAAATTTCGTTATTGTTTGCGTTTAGTTATTTGTTTGCATGCCCAAATCTCTTTCATACTTTGAAATTAAGAATAATAATAATATAATTAGGAAGAATAGAATATAGTATGATACTCAACTCAGCCTTTTCCAAGTTCTTGGGATTTGTCATATATATATATATATATATAAATATATATATTTTGTTCATGTATATTTTTAGTATTTATTATTAGTCCTGATGAAAGATTTATGTCGGTTGTCAAGCTACCTAACGCCTAATTCTCCTTTTTTTGGGACTTGGGGACCGACTGCATTACACAGATAAGACATTAACATGGCCCTAGCGGAGTTAACTTAGTTAAAAGATGAATTTTGTAATTTTATGAAAGTGGATAAAAATAGTTAACACCACCTCCCCCCTCCTTCTTCCGCTCTCTCCCTGGTATATGATGATGTACGAACTTCAATGATGGAAGGGAAGGAATTTTAAACGACAATCAATCTATGTTCACGTTATACCAACTTCATTGACACCATTGTCTATGATTGCAGGAGGAAATTGTAACTTACGTGAAGAACAACATGTGGAGTCCAGAGTACCCAACATTGGTCTACAAGATGGATTGAGCCGCACCACTCCAGCAAAACTCCATTTGCATCAACTGATGCATTGCAGTGGGAACCGATCCACACTAATTATATGGAACCCGACCACATCGTTGTTGTATCTGCTGATTGTAATATCAGATCATTCATTTTGCCTATTTCCAGAATGTGTATTAGTCCCTTGTTCACTGTCATGTACATTTGGTATTTTTTGGAACTCTGATGTTAAAATAAATGACCCAATTTTTATGTTATTTTTAATTTTAAGGTTGAGAAAGTTAAGTTTGACTCGATGGCTTTGACATTCATTGCAGGGGTGAAGAGATTTTAAGTTTATTATATATATATATATATCTGCACTAGGTGATGCATAGGTTGCAATGTGTCAGGTTACCGTTATAAGGAGTATAAAATTTTTGACTCTTATCTGTTTTGCATCCCCATCGAACAAAGTTTTGTTGTCACAATATTTGATTTGTCCTCGCAATGAGAAAATGCATTAATTCAAAAGGCAGTACAATCCCTATTTGCAGAATCTCTCTCCTAGCTGCTGCCGTCCTCCACCCCATCCACCGAACTAAGCTCAACCACTGTCGACGCCATCTTACAAGCTAGGGTTTCTTCGCCGGAGTGTGGGGCAAAATCTCCATTAACGGCTAATCATGCCGTTAATTGTGGTTTTTGTATTGTTGTAATAACTCTATTGTATTGGGCTGTCCCATTTATGGGCTTAACCCTTTTCGGCCTTCTCACCTGTTCTCTTTCGGGCTTCTTGGTCCCTTTTTGGGCTGTATGGCCGAAGGCCCACTATGTTCATTTTTTCTAATTTATATATTGACAAACCATGTTGGCCAAACCTCCCATTTATTACTATTTAAATTGGAAACATAACTCAATATTGGCCGTTTCTAAGTACGCAGTACACATGCAAATAAATATATCAATTTTTTTTTTTTTTCTTCATGTCATCATCAAGTGATTGATTGAACCCGTCAATTAGGCATCTTCCAAAGTTAATACGGCAATAGCTTATAAAAATAAATCAGCCTCCATTTCGATTGTAGGAGTAGTAGATAAATTAAAAGAAATATTTATCCGCAAAATATAATAATATAATAGTAGTGAGTAAACTTTTATTATAGGAGTGGTCTGGATTAACATTTTTTCTTTTCGTGGACAAAAATCTCGATTAACGTGATGTGTGCCAAAATTCCTTGTTATAATAAGGAAAATTTATTAAAGTACCAACATATATTATTTATTTTATTAAAAATCTGTTCACATGTGCTTTGAGTCTCAATTACCAATGAAAAATTTCGATGTAATATTCCTGATTAATAACTGTCAAATGCTCGTTGAAACCTATGTACCAACATGTATTATTTATTTTATACTTGCTCAAAATGGAAATTTTTAAAAAACCAAACAATTTTTTATACTCGAATTTATCTTATATTTTTGTTCTTTTGGACTCATGCTGTTCATGTGATTACAGACCAGACAAGGTGGAAGGTGGACCTTGGATTTCAAATTCAAAATTTTTCTAGACGTTGGGAGTTAAATTTAAAATGTTAAAAGAATTTGGGGCCCAACCCATTAGACCGACAACCCTGCGCACCTGGCGCACTATATCATCGCCCCTCTCAATAGCTCCATTTAGTCAGCCAAACTCTCCACCGAAGTCCATACCATTCATTCATCAACGCTCTTTCGCTCCGCGTTCATTGCAAGTCTCAACCCTCTTTATCTCTCTCTCTCTAAAACCTTGGTTTCTTCCTCACGAATTCTAGGGTTTTGAGCTCAGATCTGCTAGAATTCTGTGAAGATGACGACTATGGAGAGTCTCATAGGACTAGTTAATCGGATACAGAGGGCATGTACTGCTCTCGGAGACTACGGTGGCGGCGACAACGCCTTCTCGTCTCTTTGGGATGCTCTTCCCTCCGTCGCTGTTGTCGGTGGACAGGTTCGTTTACTCCATCTTCTCATTTGCTTTAGAGAGAGAAAGTTAGGTTACAAATCGCCAACATAAGAAAGAATAAACTTGGAAAATTGATTTTTCAACTTTTGTGGTTTTTGAATTGAATTGAGATGGGATTGAACTGAATCGCTATTATCGGAACGGGACTGGAAATATGTAAGAGATGGAGAAAATTCGTAAGAGGGTAGTTGATTGAGTCCTTCTCTTGTTTTCCTACTTCATATGGTTTATGTTTGATGTGGGCTGTGGCCGGAGTTCTGTTAAAATTCTTTGTAATCTGTTATTTTATTGCGAAGAGAAATTTCTGTTGACTGATTTTTGTTTTGTTTTGAGCTGATGTCAGAGCTCTGGAAAATCTTCGGTATTGGAGAGCATAGTTGGGCGAGACTTTCTTCCTAGAGGATCCGGTTAGGATTTTGATGACTTTGCTTTGATTATTTATCTGTGTTGTTTATCCTTAGTTTTTATTTGTGTTTGTGAACTTTGATTGAAGTTGATACTGGGTATTTGCAGGGATTGTCACAAGGCGGCCTTTGGTGTTGCAGCTGCACAAGACAGAGGATGGACAGCAGGAGTATGCTGAATTTTCTCATCTGCCACGAAGGAAATTTTCTGATTTTGGTATGTAACATCAACTGCAAATTCTATTTATTGTTAGTAATTATAAGTTTGTACTCTGATTTTGGTATGTAACATCAACTGCAAATTCTATTTATTGTTAGTAATTATAAGTTTGTACATTTCGGGGTTATAAAGTGATGCAATGAGAATTCTCATTCAACTTGTCAATCTACTTTTGCAGCTTCACTGATCTAAGTTTAAATAGGGGTGACAATTCATGTTGGCGGGTCATGTTCGTGTCAGGCATGGGTATTCTGTTGTATGGGTACACGATTATTATTCATGTCAAGAAACTTGACACGAACACAATACGATTATTACATGGGTAACATGACACGACACGCCTAACCCGTTTAATAAATGGGTCAAAACTTGACGCAACAAGAGACGTTTAAGTCATTTTTGACACGAACACGATACGTTTATTCAACAATTTTAGCTAAACGGGTCATTTTTAACACGAACGTGACACGTTTAGTTAAACTAGTTATAAATGGGTTGTCAGGTCAAATACGAACATAACACATTTAATTACCGTGTTAATTCGGGTCGACAACACGATTAACCTCAACCCAAACCCACTTGTCCCGTGTCGTGTTAGCCTGCCGTGTCAAATATTGGCACCCCTAGTTTTAATCCTCGATTCTTACAGTTTTGTTGTTGGTGTGTTACTATAATTTTTAAAATTATGAACACTTTTGAAAGAAAAAATTAAGATTGAGTATTTGTGTTCCTAATTAATCCAATTTTTTTATGCTTCACCTCATTTGGGTTGTTGGATATATTGATATGCATCTCCAATTGTTATGGTAATTCTTTTTTCTCCTTTTTAAATATTAAAATTTATTTTTTATTGTGGAAAATTGAATAAGTTGTGACATGTTATAGTTTACTTTATCTGTATAGTCATTATGATTTGAGCTTATCAAGGAAATAATACTCTTTTGAGGGGCTTTGGATGGTTTTTAATTTTCTTGGGAGTAAGGGTCTCTTTTATTCCCCTTTCAAATTTATGACTATAAATAATTGGAAGTGAAAATGCTAAGGTTTCAGGCAGAACTCTTGAATCTCTTTTTAGGAGTATGAATTTCTGCTTTCTCCTTATTGCATGTGTTCTCAGGGTTATAGTACATCTTTGAGGGACTTCTGGATGATGTAATTTTCCTATATCCCTTTCAAATTGATGAATCATATGGTAATTGGAAGTGGTTTAAGGCTGAACACTTGAATTTCCTTGCTTCACAAGTATGGATTTCTGCTTTCTCAATTGTAGTTAATGCTGTTTGCCTTTTCTTTTTAGGGGCTGAAGGGTTTTAATGTTTAATATGTATGCATCATCTATACATGTTTAGTTGTTCTTTTTAAACTTCATTATTACGTTACATTGAGAAATTTTTTATTTCTCCTTTATTTCTTTTGAACAATTTTGGAGAAGGTGGTCTTCGTGTATTCTTTAGGCCTATATTAGTCATTTTCTATTGTGAATTTCTGCTAAACTGTGATGCTGGAACTGATTTTTTGCCATTTGATTTTCTTCTACAGCCGTGGTTCGCAAGGAGATTCAGGATGAAACTGATAGAATAACAGGGAAGTCAAAACAGATTTCCCCTGTTCCTATTCATCTCAGTATCTACTCTCCAAATGGTGTGTTATTCTTCAACCATGATTCCTTGTAGACCTCGTGAAAACATATATACTTCCAGTTATTATTTTTTATTTTTTTATTTTTAAATGTATTTCTTTCATCCTATTTTATATTATTTGCCCCTTGAGAGTTGAGACACCATGGAATTCCCCCCATTATTTTTTATTTTTTTATTTTTAAATGTATTTCTTTCATCCTATTTTATATCATTTGCCCCTTGAGAGTTGAGACACCATGGAATCACTCCCCTCATTCTTTTCCTCTCTTCCTTTGAAATTGTTTTTGTCTCGGGTCTGTAATTTCTTGAACTTGAGGTTTCACTGAAGCTTCCCGTACTTCGCTTCAAGACCCCCTTTGATGTTATTTTTAGGGCTTCGGTTTTCTTGTTCAATATAATTTGTTGTGTGGAAATAAAGAAACTGGTAGGGTCTTGGGTCTTTTAGCAGATGTTCTCCATGAAGCCTAAAGAAAAAACTTGAAAAGGAACTGCAGATCTTTTTGCAGATGTTCTTGAAAGTACAAAGAAAGAACTTGAATTGGGAAGTAATCATTTGGGATACCTGTATCTATTGTAAATACAAATGTGACATTAACTAGTTGTGTAACCTTTTTTAAGCATAAGCACTCCTGTAGACCGTGCCTCTACGCATGATATTACTAAAAAATTTAGTCCACTTCTAGAGTGATGCAATAATGTGGAGTAAAAATCTGGGACATTGAATGGGTCCGACTTGATTTTAAAGTTTTTGATGAACTCAGTGAATCAAGTCCACTTGGTTAATAAAAGTTTTTTTATGAGAGAAAAACTTCAACTGGAAGGTCAATCGGCTGACAGTATAATAACATCCTAAATTGGTGTATATCATCTGTATATGTTTTTTGGTTGGTCCAAATTCCTGCATAATTTTTATTTATTCTTGTATTGTTAACTTCTTGTTGTTTCTTTTACACCCTCTTGGGTTGACCATGACCGTCGCAATGACTAAATCATCCCATTTGGCTAATAACCTATACGAAGGCCACCTGATTTTGAGTATGTAGAGGCGATAGATGGGGCCCACCGTAGATGGTGAAACCATAGTGGCCATTGCACTGTGGCAGTCACATGCAGTAGTTTTGCTCCTCTCTTTTTTGTTTCTTATCACCCCACTGACGTTATTTCGTGTTTTCTTTTGTCTGGCAGTTGTCAACTTAACCTTAATTGATTTGCCTGGTTTAACGAAAGTTGCTATTGGTAAGTTCTTTAATCTCATTTCTTCATGGATCTTGTAAATGATATTTTTTATCAGTCAGTATGGATCTTGTAAATATTATGAGCTTCATTGAATCATAAATTAAGAGGTTTGTTCTTTGCAGAGGGACAACCTGAAAGTATCGTTGAAGATATTGAAAACATGGTTAGAACTTATGTTGAAAAGGTAATGATTCAAGATATTCATGATTTTTTCTTATTAAAACACAATGAACATATTCTTGGGATTCCTTTGGTTAACACATTATTTCTTTTTCTTTGAATGAGTGGAAATATGCACCCTTCCTCCCACCAATTGCTAGGATTCCTGACATATCCAATAGAACACACAAAAATCTCAGGAATGCGGTGGAAATTATTACTGGATTCTTGAGAGCCATGGAAGCAATCTAGCATATATTATGAATTTCATCATTTTTTTCAATCATCTTCACTAGGAAATGTAATGTTTTGCTTATTGCAAGTGCTGTTCATAATTTGGCCCACAACTTAAGCCCCTCGTTTGTCTACTGGTGTTCAAATTTTGGTTTGTGACATGTGTCATGTGCTTTATTTGTTCGATCATCTTTTTATTCTGCCATGCAAAGTAAAATCTTGGTATATGCATCATTAGATTCAACTCAAATGTCCTGCATTGCATGATATTTTGTCATTCTAATAGGTGAATATATGGTTTCTGTAGCCTAACTGCATTATACTAGCAATATCTCCAGCCAATCAAGATATTGCGACATCAGATGCCATCAAACTTGCTAGGGAAGTGGATCCAACGGGTATGTTCTGCTTACTATTTATTAAAGCTGAATAATTTTGTTCAACTCCTTTCACATTGCTTCTTGTTGTCTTCTCTTATGAATTTTTCACTTGCAACCTGCCCAGGTGATCGCACATTTGGGGTGTTGACAAAGTTAGATTTGATGGATAAAGGAACCAATGCATTGGAGGTAGGCTCTCTCTTGCCATACAAATGTCTCTAACAATTTTTGGTGTTATTTTAGTGAGTGATTTGAATGTTTTTTCTTTATGATAATTAGGGCTAAGCTTTTATAATAGGATTGATTCATTTAAGAGAAGTAGTTATAATAACTTGTAAACAGTGTCCATATTTCTATACGGTTACACGATCTTTCTGTACTCTCTCCTATACCTGTTTAGTCATACATACAAAGTATTGCACAAAATTTTTATATTAACAGTTCCTTTTCTCCTTTTGTTTTATACCTTTATTTTTGCTGGATTGAATTGAGTTGTTCCCCACTATCTGATTTTATTCTTTTTTCCTTTTTTCTCCTAAAGGTTCTTGAAGGAAGATCTTACCGTCTGCAACATCCCTGGGTTGGAATTGTGAACCGTTCACAAGCCGATATAAATAAAAATGTTGATATGATTATTGCGAGGCGAAAAGAGCGCGAATACTTTGCTTCGAGCCCTGACTATGGACACTTAGCCAGTAAAATGGGTTCAGAGTATCTTGCAAAACTTCTCTCAAAGGTATAAGTTTTTTATCATATTTATCTTCCGGGATGTTCTTTTTCTGAGGTAAATATGATATCATTTTGATGAGTATTTTATTTTCAGCACCTGGAGACTGTAATTAGGGCTCGAATACCAAGTATCACATCTTTGATTAACAAAAGCATTGAAGAACTCGAATCTGAGATGGACCACCTTGGTAGGCCTATTGCTGTTGACGCGGGGGTCAGTAGCTTGCACCTCATAATTAGTCTTGATTGAGACATTAAGTGTGTTGTCAGTGACTAAAGTACTATGTATCAGGCTCAACTATACACTATCTTGGAACTTTGCCGTGCATTTGATCGGATATTTAAGGAGCATCTGGATGGCGGGTAAGCTCATCTTTTCCCACATCTCAAGTACTTCGATTTTTTTTGCCCTTTTTGAAATGACTCTTTTAAGACACCCAAATCTTTTATTCCACTTGAAGTAATGATAGGTTCAAACTAGCAATGAGTTAAAATCTTGTCTTTGATATATCTATCAATTCTGACCTGAACTCAAATGAATGTGATAAATCATAAATGGCTTCATATTGTTCATTCAGTTATATATCTCACATTGAATTTTAATAAGTTCAAATTATTTTGCATAGTATTTGTTTTTGAAATACATCGTCTAGAAAGGAGACTCGCCACAAATTTCTGGGAACAATAAAAGTCATCATCTATAAAAAGGTTGCCATTGGTTGAATGGTACCATCAAGTATGTTGGATTATTCATTCAAAATGATCAAATTCAATCAGCCATTCAAATTCTGATTGAAGTTAGGACCGAGAAAAAGAAAAAGAAAAAGAAAAAGAAAAAGAAAAAAAGAAAAAAAAGCAAAAGAGAGAGAGAGCTTTTTCAAATTTGACTGCTCCCAAAATTATTGTAGTTCATCTCATTGATCTTATGTGTAAGCAGAGACTAGTCGCCGCCCACAAAATAAATTTTCACATCTTACAGAATATGCTCTAAAAAGAGGGGAAACTAACATTTGATAATATCTGAGCTTGTTATGGATGGAGGGTATGGGTATGATAAAGAGTTTAAAGGAAAACCCTGAAACAGAGATCTCATAGCCAAAATTCTCCCTCTATTGTATGGGAGTACCAGCCCTTGATTTTATTACGACAAACAATGCAAACCAAGAACACAATAAAAAATCACGACAGAAAATTAAACACGCCAAACACAAAGAACACAGATTTACGTGGTTCGGTATAAGCCTATGTCCACGGTGAAGATCCAGCTAAAGATCTCACCATGTGAAAAACAGGAGATTACAAGTTTCAACCCCCAAATCTATTGCGTTCTCTCTCTCTCTCTCTCTCTCTCTCTCTCCTGTGGTTTTCAGTGTTCCCTCATATCCCGCTCCAAACCGTAAATGCCCTTATGTAATGGGCTACAAGAGATTCCTGAACAGGGTCCAACCTGCTATGGTATGGGTCAAAAAAATTCAGGTTGTCATAACAGATTTTTTATAATCAAATTTCCATTTTCACGACAAGGATATTATAGTTTGATAGATTGTTGTTGGAACCTGGGTGGTTTTGTAAGTTGTCTGCCTAGTAAATGGGTGAAACCTGATTATTGTGGTTAGCCTTCCAAGCTGTGATCTAAACTAGCTATTTTTCATCTAATACCTGGTTTTAGAAAGCTCAGTTGTTTTTTTTAAGCAACTAAAGAATGCAAGATTCCACGATTTTACATTTGGACTTGCTTCTGATTTCAGGCGACCTGGGGGTGATCGGATTTATGGAGTTTTTGACAATCAGCTTCCAGCTGCTTTAAGGAAGCTTCCATTTGATCGCCATCTTTCTCTGCAGAATGTAAGAAAAGTTGTTTCTGAGGCAGATGGTTACCAACCACATCTGATTGCACCTGAGCAAGGTTACCGACGCCTCATTGATGGGGCATTAAATTATTTCAGGGGCCCAGCTGAAGCTTCGGTGGATGCTGTAAGTAGTTTTATGTTACCTAATGTTATAGTGGGCATTGCTTTTTATATAAAATGTACCCACAAATTCGTCTGAAAAATTATCACTGGATTCATAACTGACCAAGAGAGATCGATATGCAGGTTCACTTTGTCTTGAAGGAACTTGTGAGAAAGTCAATTGGAGAAACTCAAGTGAGATATTGGAAGTGTATCTTATAGTTTTCTTGTAAAAGAGGCAGTTGTGGCCTTGTTGTTTGAAAGTCATTTTTATTTTTTTTGTGGAACAGGAATTGAGGCGGTTTCCTACCCTGCAAGCTGAAATTGCTGGTGCTGCCGGTGAAGCCTTGGAAAGGTTTCGGGAGGAAAGTAAGAAGACAGTTATTAGAATGGTGGACATGGAATCTTCATACTTGACTGTGGATTTCTTCCGGAAACTTCCCCAGGAAGTGGATAAAGGTGGGAACCCAGTTGCCACGAACGTGGATCGCTATGCAGAGGGACACTATAGGAGGATAGGTTCAAATGTGTCGTCTTATGTGTTTATGGTCTCTGAGACACTCAAGAACACAATTCCTAAGGCAGTGGTTTTTTGTCAAGTTAAGGAGGCTAAGCAATCTCTACTCAATCGTTTCTACACACAAATTGGCAGGAAAGAGGTGCTCTCTCTCTCTCTCTCACACACACACACTCTCTCACACACACACACACGCACACATCTATAGAATCGAATGACAGTTGAGAATTAAGGCCCTTTATCAAATCTTTACAGGTTTTGCATTTTGCAAGTTAAATATTAAGGCCCTTTATTTTATTTTTTTTGATAAGTTAAGGCCCTTTATTTCTTAGATGATGTACAACAATTGGGTGAAAAAGAAAAAAAAAAAACCACAAATAGGAAAAAGAAAAAATAGTAGTCAAAGTGATGTTTGGATAAGCCATATTATGTATGATATTAAGTGACATTACCTAAATTGAGGGTGGGCCTTGGCGCATAGTTTCATAGAGGTCATAGTTTCATAGTTTTGAAACCGGAAACCTCCTCTCCATATAGAGATGAGGTTACGTACATCTGACCCTCCCCCTCCCTCATAATGGCGGTAGCTTCGTGCGCTAGGCTAACCCTTTTTTTAAGTGACATTACCTAAATATATTAGACCACTTCAATATTTTAATAATAAACTGAGCCATCTTTTAATACCGCGAATAACAAGTTAAAAATAGAAGTTAATTTGTTAACACTTGAGAATTGGCATCGTCTGGCCATTTAACGGCTGTAAATGCTTCCTTTTAGTGTTAAATGGCTTCCTTGGATAAAGATCTGCTGTGTAAATTTTCCAAAGGTTTGTAAAAACTTGAGTTTCTGGTTAAGTACCATACTTCCTTGGATAGCATAAGCTATCGAGTTTCTGGCTAAGCACCACTTGAGCAACAGGGTTGACCATACTCTATCCTAAAGTGTTATTTGTACCATACATATATAGAACTTGTAGCTTGATTCAAAACTGGGGTATTTTCGTAAACATGGACAAGGGGTAATTGGTGTTTTTCAGGGTAAGCAACTGGCACAATTGTTGGATGAAGACCCAGCATTGATGGAAAGGAGGCAAGAATGTGCTAAAAGGCTTGAATTGTACAAGTCAGCCAGGGACGAGATCGATTCTGTATCATGGGTTCGATGAGAAAATGCACATGTTATGATGCTTTTCTTGTAGGATACGACGTAACCTCATTATACAGATGATTCCAAGCTTCTGCTGGTTGTTGAATTATTGAACAGGTGAAATTTTTTCTACATTGTTGTGTAATTTCTTCCGATATTTATATTTAATTGATTGTTGGGTTGCAGAGTTTGGTTGACTTGGTTCCATGTCGATGGATTGTACTATAGAACTTACTATTCTTGCGCTCTATATATATATATATAGCACATTAATTTTGCTCTCTCTCAATAGTATCTTTCCACGAGAAGGAAACCGAGCTCTCTCAAAATTATTTCAATGAAAGCCATAATTTCTTAGCCATGTGATGGGAATAAAGCTATTACATTTTTTTATGAAAATAAATGTGAATTCGAGAATTGTGACTTTTTATTTGGTTGAATTAACAATGAGACTTGAGTACTCCTAAAAAGTTTTGAATTTATTCTTTCCTAGTGACTCTTACGGTGAATCCTAAAATTCAGGTAAAATTCTCTCAGCATTTTGGTCACTTTTACACCATCCTTAATGGCAAAGTAACCGAAGTGAATCTATGTCATGCCCCGTTTTCTTTGGGATGGATGGTGATTTATTAGGTTGGAAATTCTAAAACATTAAATATCTAGGAATATTGATGTGTAGGGGAACATTGATCCCTATATATAGGGAGAAACAAGTGATCAAGGGTGTGGTTTAGCCTTGTTGATTAAAGTCAACTAATGATAATTAATTAAAACATTCTCCTTGTTTTAGAAATTTGAAAAGCTGAATTAAACCAACCAAAATATCCACTATCAATATTAGGTTGAGATTATGATAATATACAGATAACAAACCTGTCAACTACGCGACAGACAAATAAATGCAAGAATGATGATGATGACTTTAAAGAAGAAACTGGTGGGCGATTGCTCCAATCACAGGAAAAGATATACGGGTCATCTGAAAAGCGAGGGAAAAGAGCAGGAGGCAAACATCATGTCCCTTGTAGAAGCAGGAAAGTAACCAAAAACAAATCCATTTATGAGGAGGATAATGGAAGAAGCCACAAATGCAAGCTTCAACCCAAGAACACAAGACAGCTTGGACAAAAGATTCACAAGAAATTACAAACTAGCAACCAGGAATGATAGGGCTCTCGCAGTCTCTAGCAAAAATCTCCTTTGGCTAAGCTTCTCTATTATCAGCTAGCGTAACCGACTCAAGATCCTCTCAGGCAAAGCAGCTAGCTTAGACAGGCAAGGGCAGTAAACTTTCGTGTCTATTGGTATAGGGTTAGAAGTGGCTAAACTACTCTATGATCTTGGGAGAGAGGAGAACCAATATACAACAACAACGTACAAGCCCTTTTTTCAACTACTTGAAGTCGGCTACATGAATCTTATATTTCCATTATGCTCTATTTAAGATCTTATAGGAGAACCAATATAAGTTCTTTAAATATTTCGAAGGGAGAACAAGTAGACATTTCAGTCTCAATCAAAATTAGCACTTTTAGAAGGAAAAAAGAAATGGTATGCTCTTTCTAAACTATGTCTCTATTTTTCTCTATCCCATTGACCATATAGAGAACACAGGTTCAGGTATTATTGTTTACAATGGCTATCATGTAAAATTTAGTCCCAGTTGCAATTGAATCAATCCATTAATCGATATTTAACACACAATGTGACAATGCAGTACGAATGGTTGAAGGCAAGAATCATCGTAATCCAGGTACTCAAACTTAAAAAGCCTTGCTGTTTTTTTCCCAACTATACGGAGGGAGGCACATGAATTGTATTCCACCAATAACAATGATTCAAGTAATTTGTAGAGATCTTAGGATGTCCTTATTTCCTAAGAGAAATAAACAGGTGGTAAAAAATGGATTCTGAAATCTATCTAAATCACTCTCTAACTGATTTAAACATAAATCCCAAACTGAGTCCTAGTTTGATTATAGTTTAACCTATAACAGTTCAAGTGGTAGCTGTTGCTAAATCTGATTCATTCGATAGCTCTTCCAAAGCATTCCACAATTTTGTATCATCAAAATCCTTGATAGTGAAAGTCGCCCCAGCTTGTTCCAGTAATTTTTCCGGGTTTCTTCTAGCTACACCCACCACTGGCATCCCAGCTGCAACCCCAGCTTTTATCCCGGAAACAGAATCCTTACCACGCAAAAAGCCAAAGAAGAAATAAAATTTCCATCAAAGTTTGAAGGCATGCAATGCGTATGTTCTCCATGAAGTACATAATTGTGCGAGTAAGACAAACCTCAAACACGAATGCGTGCTTAGGGGACACTTGAAGTGCTTGTAGAGCCTTCAAGTAGGGGTCTGGGAATGGCTTTACTCGGGCACATTCGTTCCCAATGACTAGTATCTTAAAGAAATCTGCAAGGCCCAGCATCGAGATCAAGAGTTCAGCATTTGGTCTCGGAGCACTAGTTACTGCAGCACATTTCAGACCGTGATCGTCAATCCATTTGCATAGCTTGTTGAGGCCGTTCATTGATTCTAGTTTTTCTGATGCCAATCTGCAATTTCCATTAAAAAAAGACGAATTTGGATGGATATCACAATTTTATTTGCATATTGGATCTTTGCAGGGTGAAGGTACGGATCAATTAGTTGTGCGAAAAAGTAAGATTGCCGAGTATTAAGGGGATAATCAGGTCTTAGTTATTTGTGCAGCTTGTTAAGGTTTGGAAGTTTTTGACACACACAACATGGCACGGATAGGAGGAGAAACCAGGTTTCGGGAACATAGAGCGTCCAATGACACAATACACTAAATTTATCATTAACATACAAGTATCAATATTTATTAACAAGCGAGAGGTGCTTCAAGTTACCTCCGAAACATTGCTTCCTTATCGTCCATAAATTTCATGGCTCTATGGAAATCCCAGTCCGGGAGTAGGACGCCACAGAGTTCGATGTTGTGCTTGCCACTAATATTCTGAACGAAGAATTCCTCCGTTATAGGTACTCCTCCATTGAAACCTATCTGTGGGAAACTCCATTTTAGTTAGTATATGACAGTGCCACTCATGAATTTGAGTAATATGGATAAATATATCATAATAAATTAATACCTCTTGAAGCATTTCTCGGAAAGCATAGTAATGGACAGGATCTGAATCGCACAATGTTCCATCGATATCAAAGAATATTGCTTCCAAAGGAGCGATAAAGGAGAGTGAACAATTGCCACTTTGAAAGATCCAATTAGTATTATTAATTTCATTAAAGTTAAACTGTAAACATTTTCTCCAGTTCATGACCCCATAACAAGGCATTTGGCACAAAACTTAAACTATACATCTTTAAGTAAATGATCTATACAACATTTGTGATAAGAAGCATACATATGGGAGAGATCAATTGTATTATTGTATCATACTCAGCTTTTAATATCAATGTACAAATGTCCACATAATTGAATTCGTAAAGAATTTTAGGTGCAAATGATTTTTTTTTTTTTTTTGGGATAAGTAAATGATGTAATAAAGGGCATTCAAAAGGGGAACGCATCCTTTTGAGGTACAAAATGCCAAAAAGTGCCTCTGAAGTCTGAACCCTCGAAGAATCCAAAATCCCAATGTAGGTGCAAATGATTGCAATTACTTTATCAAAATCCCAATGAAAGAACAACATAAGTGCACATAAAACATAAATTAGGAATAAAAACTTATTTTGTCGGAAATCCTATTTCTTAAGATCAGAAGTACAACGGGTTTCGTCAGCTGTAAAAAGGAAGATCCACAATTTCTACAATGGTAAAATGGAAAATTAGCTACACCAAATTCAGAATGCTACCACAAATACTCCATCCAGAATTCCAGTTGAGTATGTACACATGAATAAGGGTAACAAAGAGAGGAAATGAAAAAAGTAGGATTATGGAGGGGTTTGTTTACAGAAAAGCTTGTACATTTATGAATTTAAAAGATTAAACAAAAATTGGGCTTTGGAGACTGTGAATATAAATATATTGCAGTTTTATGTATACACGTGAAAAATCAATAATTCTTACTGATTAAATTTTTTCTATGAACTTGTAATACTAAAAAATCAATAGATTAATTCATCAACATGAATCTATCCAAATTTTGATTGATTTGGTGTTCTATTAATTTTGAAAATATGAAATTGATGAACTTGTAATACATAAACACCGGCAAGTCCACACAAAAAGCAATGGTGATAATGAATTTTATGATTTTTACTACGGTCTGCTGTTTACATAATTCTCACAGGATTAAAAATCATCCAAAGAATAATAAGAAGGAAAGAGAGAGAATTTTAGATTTTGCGCACAAATAAATCCAAATTGCTATGAGGCGAAGGAATGTCCAATTTATTTGTCTATCAGTGGACAAAATGAAAAGAACAAAGAAATAATAAAGACTCAAAAAACAAAAGCGAAAAAAAAAAAAATACAGGGTAAGCAAATTACCTTTGTACAGGGTAAGAATTTGAAGAAATGCACATCCGATGAGTGAGAATGGTGGATTTGGACAGATTTTTTCTGGGAACTGGTGTTTTGTGGAGGTGGGTTTTGGTGACAAAGTCGGAGAAAAAGAGATGAAGAGATGGCATAGTCTCAAAGATGGTGTTTTGGCTTCCGAATTTCTTGGAGATTTCAATAAGGTGCAAAAAATGTTAAGGGGGTCAGAGAAATTCAGCCAACCAACTCGAAGGACACAAATCCTCTTTTGTATTGTATTCCTTGGGGCGGGTTGGCCCGTTTGTGATTTGAATTTAGGTTGACCCATCAACACACCCAACCCGCCTGACTTGCACTCTAGCTGGTATGCAACACTGTTGAAATTATCAAAAAAGACATCTCTGCCCATCAATTTAAGCTTTTAGATTGAATAATAAGGACTCCACTTGTTATAAGCGGTAATTTAGCATGTAAGTCTTTCAACCGAAGTCATACCTTATTAAGCTTACTCAGTTTTTTTATCCGGTCTTTAATTTGGTTCATCACGCCAAGTCAAGCGCCGGGGCAAGAATTGTCATCTTGTTATTAAGGGACAAAATGTTCTGATTAGTCACACCAAGCCAAGTGCTCGGGTAAGGATCGTCATCCTGCTATTGGGGGATAGATAAACAAGTTGGCCCGAAAAGAGAGCGTTATAAGTTTAAATGTAAAAAAATATTAGTGGAAGATAGGTGGAGTGATTTGACTAACAAAGAACTTGCAAAATTATTATTTTTAGTTTTAGTGTGACTATTTTGCATTTCTTCATAATATTGGCAAAAAGTTTATTTAGGACAATGGCATTGACAGTTCCGAGATGTTGGGAAAATGATTAAATTTAATGTTCTCTTTTTCAAAATCAAGACAAGTCTCAAGTTACATTTGGATTTTTTTTTTTTTGAAACACCACTAGGATATAGAAAAACTATAAACACAAAACAATCTTCTCTCTGTACAAGTATTACACTTAAAAAAGAGAAAGAACATAAATACCAGAGATAGTTGGAAATTTTAGAGGGGTGAGGGAATCACATGGAAGAAAGCAATTTATCAAAACAAATTTTAGACATTTTGAATATAAATTTTACTCCCACTCTCTCTTGATTTTCTACCATAATGACCGGGAAAATAAGATTAATGAGATAAAAACATGTTTAAAGGAAACATGAATAATTGAAGGATGAGAAAATATAAAAATCAAACAAGGTATGTGTCAGATTTGAACTATTGTATCAACATTTCAAGACTCTAATGTGATGCATGCAAGGAACTCATATTTAATAAAATTAGGTGAGTATCAATTTCAAATTGTTTTATTATATGAACTCAACTTTGTTGTTTTATTTGATAGTGAACTTCCACATAATGACTGATACATGAGCTATTTGAAGTGTGAGCTTCTAAAATAATTGTTGGCTTCTAGAATATTTATGGAATGTTGAGAAAGTTGAAAAAAATCCAAAACATTGATATTGAGGAGGTAAATATTTAGAATATTTTTGTGAGGAGGAGGAGGTCTAGAATGTAAATTATGTTACTACGTAAGAGGGAAGATGATGTCTATATATAAGATGAAGTTTTTTTTTGAAACATGGAGTTAGTAGGGTGACTGTAGCAGAGGGGTGGAGTGGAGTGAATTAGTAAGCAATTAATTTTTTTTTAAAAACAATGGCTTCACCGAATATATTTTTTCTTTTAAAAAATGCTTTTAGCAAGGTGGTTTATGTATCATTAAAGGGGAAAATTAATTTTTAAGTGATCATCATTTCTAATATATTTATTATAGAGGTGTGGGAGGTAGGTCTGCGATAAAAAATTGTATTTGGATCTGACACCAACCACACAAAAATAAAAGGTGTCAAGATCTATTGAATGGAGGAATTCAAGTAAAACTCGTCCTTCTCTGAATGGAAATTAATCTCACCTTTCTTTAAATGGTAATTAAATTAAGAAACAAATGAAAAATTCAAAATTTCTCTCGAATTTCTTTCCCTTTTTATACCTTCCCAATCCTCAGAGGTATGAGCTGGGTTGTTCGGATCTTGCTGGATCATCCCACGGCCCAATTCTTTGTGTCTTGCTCGTTCTATAGTTTTCACCCATGGTCTAGACACGGGGACATGCCGTGGTTGGAGCAACACGTTGTATAGGTGTCGGGTTCTTATTTAAGGAGATTTTTTTCTCTAATTTTATATTGTTTATAGGGCTAAAATCTAAAAATCCCTGTTGTTTACAAAAACTATCTATTAATCCCTTCAACTAAAAAAACTATTATATCACCTCTTAATATTTTAAAAAGACTATCATAATAGCCCCTCCCGTTAATTTTCGGTCAAAAACTAACATATCAGATCACATGATTGTCACGTGCATAATATTTCATTTGAATATGACCATACTACCCTTTTAACCACTTAATAACTAAACTGCCCCTACCTAAGTCTAATGAATCTCTTCTCTCTTCAACAACGTCACTCCATGTTTTCCGGCATGTTTTAGCAGTGGCCAATGTGAGTCCAAACAAACAACCTCAACTAAACTTTAGAGATTGCTTCAGTCCGATGAGCTCCTTTTCCAGATGAAACAGGACCCATCAGATTGCTTTAGTCCGGCGACGCCTCAAGCCGTCCTTGGCAAAACTTAGTTCAGTCCAGCGACGTCTCAAGCAACCTCGACCCACCCCGACGAAACCCAGTTCTATCTTATCTCGTGAGCCTCATGGTTCTTTCTGCATGAAACCACAACGGTGACGATGACCAAACCAGGTAGTACCGTGACCTGTATGCTTCATCCGACAATAAATCAACGAGCTTTGGTGAATGACCAAACTAGATCCATTATCGGCAAACTTTACTAGTGAGCTCTCCTTGGTGAAACCCAACAAATTGCTTTAGTCCGGCGACGCCTCAAGCTTCCTTGTTGAAATCCATCAGTTTAGCGATGTCTCAAGCAACCTTGATCCACCCCGACAAACCAGTTCAATCCCAGTGGCCTATTTCGTCCAAGAAACCCTAGGGCAATTATCCTTTGTGCGTCATGCCATTTATGTTGGTATTTATTGTCAATTGGCTTCTTCGTTTGCAGATAATGGAGGATATATATATATATATGTGTGTGTGTGTGTGTATAATATCTATATAATTACTATAATTATTATAATTACTATAATTATATTTAAATAAATATTAATATATTATCAAGGGTATTTTTGTCATTTCGCAGGAACTTGACGGTTATGTGACAGAATGGGAATAATGTGATAGTTTATGTTATATCAGAAATGTTTTTTAATACTTAAGGGGTTAGTAGATAGTTTTGATAAACAATACGAGAGTTTTCAGATTTTAGTCCTTGTTTATATATAGCATAAACATAATTACACTGAGTTTGATTTAAATTTTATAGTCTGTGTATCAAGTTTTTTGGTCCAACATGTTTGTTCAAATTTTAAAAGTGCACTGCTTCAAAATTGTTTAAATATATATAGCAATCACTAATTGCCACGTCAAGTCAGCTGTGTAATTTGTAAAAGTAATCATCATCTGTATTATTTTTATTGTTAAAAATATCGAAATAAACAAATGAGAATAAATTGATATTTTGAACAGTAATTTTCATATGTTTGATACATATTATGGATTTTAAATGTTAATTTTTTAAGAAAAATTACATATAGGTAGAATTAGGAGTCTTAAATAACAAAATGATCTATTTTAAAAGTTCATTTTTAATTTGATTGAATTAAAGAAAATAATTACAAATGCATCAAAAAAAATATTAATAAAGTCCAAAATACCTTACAAACTCTTATTTCAAAATACTAAAATATCAAAAAAAAAAAAAAAAAAAAAAACTAAAATATCCTTTTTAAAATCATATAATTGCAAAATACCAAAAATTTTAAAAAATATTGAACCCTGCTTCTCGATGGTTTATGTCTTTCAAAGGAACAAGCAACTGTGATGCAAATGCAAATCAAAGGATTATAACAAGGAAATTGGAAAGCATTATCACCAATATTTAGTGGCTTTTAATCAATTTTCTCATTCTTGCTACACTTTGTAGCCCATTTTTTAAGTTTTCATTATCAACTGTGTAATTCGTATTTGTTAGTTCAAGCTGGTTCTCAATGATCTATTTTAATATTTTAAAATTAATTTTAAGAAGGGTATTTTGATATTTTTGAATAAGAGATTGAAGGGTATTTTGAACCTTAATAATAATTATTGAAACATTTGCAATTATTTTATTTAATTCAATAAAATCGAAAAATTAACTTTTAAAATATACCCTTTTGTTATTTAAAACTCCTAATTTTTATTTATGTGTAGTTCTTTCAAAATTTTAAGTGGTAATTAAAAAATAAATAGTTAATTATCCAAAAATAAATTAAATTTATTTTTGAAATTTCTCTTGCACTTAAAATTATTATGTATTTTGCATAACTCTTTTACACAGCCACTAAGCCACATCAACATATTTTATCTCTTCTCTCTCTTTCTCATTCCATTAAAAAATCAATCATATATTAAATAGGTTTATAAAAGTTATATGGGTCTTGGACATGCTATGTGGTTAGTTCTTATTGATAAAAATATTTTTACTCAAAAAGTATAAAATAATGGTTTGAGCTAAAAATAATTTGTTCATTTTTTTTTTTTTTTTTTGTAAATCTAATGTAACAAATTATATTTACAAATATATATATGTATATAGACACACACACACACGACCATCCTTATAGAAAAGTAAATGGAGCTGTCACGCGATGTGGTTGATATGTTAATGGAAGCAAATATCCTCCATGGCTCCATTTACTAACTTTATAGACACCTATTATAAAATGTCTTCCATTCCCTCACTTCATTTATGATCTTAATTAATGACAACTTGATCAAACTCACGTATATATCATTTTTCTTATAAAGTTAGGAAGAATAGTGCATTTTTTTGAAATACTCAAAACCTTTTTTTTTTTTTTTTCTAATAATAATTTTTTTTAAAAAAAGAATATAGTGTATTTTTAGACATACATAATTACATATATGTATATGTGCTTAAATCTCACGACTTGTCTTTTGATATTTTTTCAATGCACAACATAATTGTTAAGGCATCAGCCTTAAGATAGGAGAGTTCGACTAATTTAACGTGGATATAATTGATATTATTAAAATATTAAAAATATTAATGACATGATTATAACAATGTCAGTCCTCACTCCTTAGTTATATAAATCTCGGTATTGTCCGACCTTTTGGATTCTAAATCATTGTCTATTTTATATTGTTTTGAAAAATCAATCAAATTGTATATATAAAAACGAGATATCAACAACCAAAAAGAAAAAGAACAGAAAAAAAAAAAAAAAAAGCCATTGGACAAACAAGCCCAAACAGCAATGGGATTACAAAACAGGACAAGCCCACACACAGGATCAAAAGATGCAATGCCCCAAAGAGCCAAAACAAAAATAAAGCGAAGAACAAACAAATAGCGGATGATAGCAAAGTCAGAAGACCTGTTACCAAAAGTTCTGTTTGGGGCTTTCCGGTGAAACAGCCATTGACGGCGAGCTAGAGCACCGAAGCTCTCAATCTGGTGGACAACAGCAAGACGGAGGAAGGTCCCAGTCATGGAGAATGGAACTTGAAACAGCACAATCCTTCAGAAATCCCATTTTAAGGGTCGAAGAGATGGTAAATTTGGGTTTCTCTGTTCTGTTTTCTGGTATGTGTAATGAGATTAGGGCATACAAGATTTGTGCATGATTTTGTGTATTTGGTGTTTGTTTCTTGTTACAGATTCAATATTTGTTGTTAGATGTAAATGAAAGTGGGTTGGTCTCTATTGGTCATGGTTGATTTTAGGAGTTTTTGAGTTAAATTGGTTTTTGAGTGTTAGGGTTTTTGGTTGCATACCTTATGAATCCAGCCTGATTTTTTATTTTTATTTTTATTTTTATTTAGTGCCATCAGTTTTATTTATTTTTCTCCCCATTTTTTACTTCTCTCATCATATATTTGAGTACCAAAGGTACAACCATAATCACTTTCTTGACTGTGAATGCTACAAGATTGGCACATGTTTATAAATCTATAATGTTGGCCTGTTCTTAAATGTATTTATCTATTTGGATGTGAAAAATTACATGTATATATGGAGTTTCCAAGTATGGTCTAACCATTGTCTGAAGTCTTCATAGAATAAGATGAGGTTTCTGTAATGATTGAGTGGCTAACTTTAGGTGTCTGGAAAATTACATCTCCTGTAAAAATACATATTTTTCTCTTCTATGTGTTTGTGTGTGTGTGTGAGATTGTAATAATAAATCCCAACACACCAAATGGGTAATAGCCCAGCTGGTACAAGCCCCTCATCCCCAAAGGGGGAGGTTGGGGGTTTGAGCCTCAGTGGAGGCATGGGTGTGTGTGATTGCTTAACCTTCCAAAAGAATAAAAAAGAAGATAAATCCCAACAAGACAGATCCTATGACCACAACTGGGTATTTGCGTTAAACTAAAAAAAAATTGTGAACTGAAAAGCAGCAATTTTTATAGGTTATAAGTTATAACAGTTTAACTGGTTGTTTTGAATTAATGTTAGCCCTTTTCTTCCATTTTTTTTTTCTTGTCAAATCTTGTGAATTTTTCTTGCAATTATTGCGGACACTTATTTACGGTAAAGGAGCTCACTTTGTTACTGAAAGCCATTTCAATTGAAGCTTCATGTGATATGGTAACTGGCAGGGCATCATTTGCTCATAAGAGGAATTTGGCTGTAATTCATCTTTTGATCCCTGCTGTGTCTTCTACAGCTATTGGAATCTTGCAGCCAGTGGAGTTGTGGTTTGGAATAGGATGCACGTAGACTGTGCTGGAAACCTTGACTCCTGAAAGAGACAGCAATGGAAGATCCTCGTTCTGTCAATAGTCCCAGAAGAATCCTCAGTTTCAATAGGAATAAGAGGGCAACTGTTTCCTTTCCTGATCCAGATAACAGGGCTTCTGGGGTTGGTATTTCTGCATACGGTCCAAAGCCTTCAGAAGTTTATGGGTTTGTTGGGTCCATTTCAACTGTTGTTTCAACAGGTCCACTTCTTCTCTCACATTTTCTAATTTTTGTCGAGTCTGAGTTAAGTTGGAAATCGCCTAGTTAAATGAGTTCCCTCTAATGCACAAAGTCTAATCAGAGGTGGTGGGAATCACATGCATGTTTAGCTAGGACATGTTAGAATATAATGTTGCTGGAAAGAATTGCATGATTGGACTTTTTCTGCATGGCACAAAACACAGTGCCATGGGCAATAGACTTGTCTTTTAGCTGGATACTTCTACAAGCTGACTGATCTCTTACAACTAAAAGAATGATCATTTTAAGTGTCCATGATAGCTCACTTTTTTCTGCGAGTTGGTTTGCTTGTTTCATGCGTGGAGGCTGTTTGTATTTCTTCACAGTTTTAAGTTTAAAATGGAAAAGGAGAAAGATAATGTTAAATAATGTGGCTTAAGAATTATATTGTCAATCTGAAAGCACCCGAATATTGTGGTGTTGATGTCATTTCTCTATCTTGTTTGCCACTTAAAAAAATATATATGAAAAGTACTTCCATCTTCCATGCCTTTGGTTAATATCTAGCTGTTTGACAATGTTCCATTTAGATGTACAAATGCATTATTAAGAGTGTTTTTGGTTATTTATTCAACATTGCCAATCGGCCAGATATCAAGTAAAGGCAAGCAAGATGAAGTATTTTCATATATATATTTTCATTTTTTTTTAAGTGGCAAACAAGATATTTAAATGACATCAACACCACAATATTTGGGTGCCTTCAAATGAACAATATTATTCCTGAGCCACATTATTAAACATTTATCCTTTTCTTTTTCCATCTTAAACTTATAATTGTGAAGAAATACAAACAGCTTCCAAGCACAAGACAATTAAATCAACTCGCACAAAAAAAGTGAGCTATCACGGACAATAAAAATGTTCGTTCTTGGTATCACTTTTGGAGTTTATTTATTTTATTTAATTTTTTACTTTCTGATAGAATTCTGTGTGCAGTTCTTTTCTTGGTATGGGCATATGTTCCTGAGCGGTGGTTACATTCTATTGGGCTTTTCTACTATCCTAGCAGGTCAGTAAGATGCATCAATGTGCTTTCTTCTTGGTTGCTGAGCGTGTTTTTGTGTCATCAAATCCTTTGATACACACATTCCCTTGTTCTAATAAGCATCTGTATACTTATCTTGTTTGGGGAGAATTTTTCAGTCTCTCATTTGATAGCAAACTAATGTTTTTGGGATGCCTAGGAGCTCTCATGGCTTTAACATTCCACATTCGGTTGTATAATGTCAGCCAACGTCAGACTCAAAGGATGTGCCTGGTCGATTGTACCTAATCTGGTTCATTTAGATGGAAAGGTGTTCAGATAAAAGAAAAAACTTGTAAAACAAAATTGAAACTGTTAGATGCTTTCTCATAAACAAATAAACTATAAATTGGATTGCCAGATAAGTAAAGAATTTGAAAATTTTGGGATGCTTAAGTTTGAAAATCTGGACAAATCCAAATTCACTACAAAATGCTCAGAAATATGTAAAATGACACTTCTGGAAATGTGCTTTGATTCAGTGTTTCACCTGGGGAATATGTGTAGACATGACGTGGCACAAATATGAGTGCAGGACATGGGTAGGTGACGACTGCTGATCAAATCACATGCCTTAGTCTCATGTAATTAAGAGAAGAAGATGAAGAGGAGGAGGATAGGGAGGAGAAGCGTCCTTACTTGAATCTTGATCTAGTTAGTTGGGGTCGATTCAGTCATTGGTGTACTATAACTATCATTATGTTGATCCTGTTGCAGGGCATGAACTTGGTTTGAATGACAAATCTGATATTCAGGAGCTCTTCTACATTATCTTTTTTGCAAGCATCCACCTTCATTTCTTCTGTTTTAAATTTCTTGAGTAATATTAAAAGATCTTATATTTTGTATTTTCACTATTGTGAAAATTATTCAGTTTCTTTTTGCACAGTTATCCTTTACAACAGACAATACATATAACTATACATGTCTATCCATTCACTACATTTAAGACACTCACAGCTGTGCCTGTCCTAAAATTTTGAAGTGTGGATGAATATGGCAGCTAAACATACACTAACATAGTCGTGGGCGTCATTGATATTTTTAAGTGTCAACATTGTCTTCCTTGGGACTTGGCATGGAATTCTTGTGCTTTAGATTGTTAGATTGGTATTTTACCTTTCAGGTACTGGGCATTAGCGGTGCCAACTTACGCAATGGTGACAGTAGTATTAGCAATTGGATTTTACATTGGCCTCAACTTCATGGCAACCCCTCCTCCAACTTCCTTCAACACAATGTTTGGTAAGTGTTAGCTTGTACTTTCTAGGGATATATACAAATTGGGGAGGTTTTTCCCTACTAAATGAAATTCATCCCAAGATTTGGAGAATTTTATTGATAGAGGCAAAAATGTATGACATGCAATATTGAACCCCATATGCTATTAATCTAGTCATCTTGATACAACGTGTTGCTGGTCTACCATGCAGATGAATTTAGTAGAGAACCTTTGGGCTTTGTCCCTTCAGCAGAAGGAAGTGAGCAGCCCATCGAGCCCATATCTGATATTAGCATCAACCAAATCAATGACCTCATGTTCAATGACCTGAAATGATCATCCAGCTCTAGTAATTTTGATCTTATGCCCTCCTTGGAGATATTTGTGCTTAATCTATTGAAAACTATTCTGACAAATTTTCTTTTTCAAAATATTCATAAAATAAATTTTAATGAAATTGACTTGGCTGATTTCTCATTCATAGAATGTATGAAATCAATAGCTCATATTAACTGGTTCAACTTTGATAACAAAAATTGTTTTCTGGAAAGAGGGCACTTCAAGAGTAATCAACTATGGAAGTTACATGGTAATTGAAGAGGTTGAATTTGACACATGATTGGTTAATTACAATGCACCCTCAGTTGACCAATCAATTCCTTGAAGCCATGGTCTACGCGGGCTATTTGGTGGTTGAACCAGGTACTTCAATACTTGGTTAACATGTAAGAGCTTATAACCAGGTTATTGTATTCTTCCTTTAATGAATGTGTGAGGAACACTAGTCAAATTGGGAATTCCATGTAGATTGAGATAGAGTTTCTGAGATTTGGCTTGCTAATGTATTTGCCCTGCAATTGTTATTTTCGTAGTGAACGTTGATTGTCTTCATTCATGTACTACTAATAATTGTTGTGATTCTGCAATTTTGCCTCTCCCTGTTATTAATCGTTGTTATCTCCTAATAGAGAAGCCTGAACACCGTGTGATTCACAGAATTGCATTTGGTTAATCTATCTTTAGTTGAAGGAATGTAAGAAATTATGTTAATGATTTCTACTCCATTTTGTTTCAGAATTTGTTCAAGTTGGCTTGGTTTGGTTTGATCTTGAAAACTATATATCAAACAGAATACCAGAAAATAATATTTTTGCTGTTCATCTGACTAGTGTGGCAGATTGATTCCAATTCTGGTCCATATAAATTGGACCCCAGACAACTGTTAGCTAGCTTATAGTTATACTTGATTCCTTACTTGGGTTAGATGCATGGCAGGGCTCTATTACTTGCATGCACACTGAATGGCATCAAAGTATCAAAATTGGGTGGAATGTTTATAAAATTGTGGTGACCTCACAGCTCCTTGTGGGGCCGATCATGAGTGTGCTTGTGAGTGTTGCGACAGCCGCTTGCAAGTGCTCTATAGATAAACCTAATATCCCTTATTATTTGAACTCGTGTCCCGACTCTCTCTCTCTCTCTCTCTCACACACACACACCCATTGTTGTTCCATTGGAACTAAGATACACACCCCTCTCATCTAGGTGGAGGAAATATGTTGAAAGGGCTAAAATTTAGGATTATTTTATATGGTATTGCTTAGCAACTTAACATAGAAAATGAAGAAAAGAACAATAATTGAGGTATATATTCTCATCTGGCAAAGAGTGAACTTGAAGCCAACAGCAAAGCCAGCAAGAGCAAATGGAATGGTCTAAGGAATTGAATTCCCTAAAACCTTCTAGAGAAAGCATTCTCATGTGGTTGCCAACTTGCCATGTGTTTGGAATGTGATCTACTCCATTAGGTAGGTATATATGTTCAGCATGTTGTCAAATATCCAACAATGACACTTATTGTGACTTAATAGGATGTCATTTGTCATATGGTACATATTATTCTTCCTGTTTTCTTGGGAAAAAAAGAGAGAGAATACTAAAATCAGGAGCCTTGAATTATTATTTCTTTGCTTCTATTGCCAGAAAAATCAAATTTTGTGTATTCATTAGTCTTACTTCTCTAAACTTGGAATTGGGAAAACCAAAATGCAAATCTTTAATACTCGATTGTCTTTGGTGAGAAATAATAGATTTTTTTTTTCTTTCTTATTTTAAACTAAAATTGTCATTTATTTAAAATTTTTTTACTACTAAATATAAAAAGGGCAAATACACGACACTCTTGTCAACAATGACACCAATTGTGACTTAATAATAGAATAATCATTTTATATGTTTAGTTGTGCAAAAGATTTTCATTCAAAAAAATAGTCGTCTTCCCTTTAAATTTTATACTAAATAAAAGAAAGACAAAACTTGCATACTTATCGATGGGTTCAATTACAAATGTACAAATAGTCTGTAATTTTAAAATTTAGAAAGGATATCAGCAAGGGTGACCAACTTTATTATATAAAAATTATTTTTCTTATTTATCACTTTTTAAATTTTATAATTACAAATTATTTGTATATTTGTGAATAGACACATGAGCAGGGATAACTTACTCACTAATAAATAATCGAAATAGATATTTTATTATATTCCATATTAATTTCCTTTCCTTTCATAACAAACGAAAGGGCAATGTTGTATAATTAATCATCGGTTTAAAAACCATCAGTTTAATTAATTAATATCATTATTTAAAAATAAATAAATTCCGAGCCCACAGAGCCAGACTGTGAGAGTGGTACGGAAACTCCCTTTCCCTAAAGCCGACGGGGGAGTTACCATTAAACGCTCCTATTAAAAGTGGGCACGGAGATATTGTGGTACCTTTGTCTTCGGTTCCATCTTCTTTCCCTCCTGTTTCTCTCTCTCTCTCTCTCTCTACAACTTCAGGAGCTTCTTCTTTCAAAGGTAAACTTATGATTTTGTCCATCTCAAGCTATTACTGTGTAATTTGGTGAAACTGTTGGCTCTCTTACTTACATTATTAGCTTCATATACCTTAACTCCGCTGAATTTGAATTCTACACTTTTCAAAGTTTGCAATTTTGCTTTGATTTGATCCGAGTTGCACTTTAATTGATCTTTGTTAGTTTGGTGTTTCGGGGTTCTTATTAATTTTTGTGGAATTTGAATGAGTTATGAATTTAATATATATATATATATTGTTCTTGTTAGCCATTTGCAGTGATATTAATGTAAAGTTACTCTCTTTTCTATTGCATTCGTGCCATGTAATTCCAATATGCCTGTTTTCAGAGACCCAATTCCACATATGTAAAATTTATTGATTGCAAGGCACTTGGATGTGTTTATTCTGTTCTAATACGGTGTTGAGATGAGTTAATCTCAATAAACACATTTGGTATCATATAGTTAATTAATATAAGGGCATATCAAAATGTTAGTGATGTTGTGCTTGGAAGCACTGAATCGGTGACTTGGAATTGAAATTGGAGAAAAATTAGTTGAAACTTTGAACTAATTTTTTTCAAATTCCAATTCCAAGGCGCCAACTCGGTACTCCTAAACTTAGCATAAAAGATTTTGTTTCTGTTATTTTCATTGGTTACATGGTGTTCGGACGAGTCCATTTTACTATGAGTTGAATTGAGACATTGAATTCTTGGTATTAGTAAAATAACCCCAGTTGTTTTTGTTGACAGTTGATTGAAACAAACCACTTGGCCATTAGCCTAGCTAGTATAATCTCTCCTCCCTCAAAGGGGAAGTGAGGGGTTTGAGCCCCATAGTGGGCATTTGCCAATTGTGTGTGGGTATTTACCTAACTGGAAAAAAAAAAAAGAAAAAGAAAGAAACAGGGACATTCTATAATTCCAATCGATGATGCTATTTATGTTTTCCGTTGGTGAATATGGTAACAGCTTTTTTACTGGACCATTTTATGAGTTCAATTTCTATATGAATCACTATGGGATCATTGTAAATGTTCTTTTTGTATATAAAACTGTTGGTGCAGTAATTCACTCGTCCTCAGGTTGTGCGGATGAAATGTAATTGATCAGGAAACGTATCAAATCAAAGTAAAAGCTATCTATTGGATTAGGAATTAACCCTTTGGCAGTTTATATGTTTATGTTTTCTGTCTTCAATGGTCTTGCAGTTAGTAATAAGAAGTGTACTATCTTTCTCTCCAAGTCTGTGAGAAGGAGACTTATCTCTTCCATTCCTCACTGCACTCTTTCTTCTTTTCCTGTCAGGTACCAGGGTCTTCCTTTAGCGTGATTAACTTTAACTTCAGTTCTTGGTTGCATGCAGATAATATATTTAAATACAATATAGTTGGCAGTGATGGGGACTGTTGTTGATGCTTCAAATAAGGTAGCTTTTATTTTGTTTCTTGTTGTATACTTGTATGATAAGTTATTTTTGAAAGTTTAACTGATCAATAAGATTACCTTTTGGAAAATTTGGTCAATGCAAGCTAAGAGTACACTTATCAACCATAAATTTGTGCTTAAGAAATCTGTGGGTGGTGTCACCATTTACTGATTTCCAGCTTGAAACAATACCGATCTATTCTGAATTTCAAACAATCAGAAGAACCATAATTTTCTTTCTGTATTAGAATTTACTTGATGTAATGATGGACAAGACTATTATCATCAATAGCATGTGTAGCACTGCTCTACAATTGTCATGGTCAAAGAATTGTTTCTGTTGATCAAGTTGTCAACCTACATTTGAACTTGTAAAGCAATTCTTTTTCTGTTTATAAGCCCATTGAATATGGCTGATGTTGTCTGCTAAGTTCAGAAGATTAACCTGCTAGGCATGGATGCTTCTTTTATGGGCGATTCTTTTTCATGTGTTACATGGGCATACACACACATTGAATCTGGGTAATCATTTTGACATATATGCTGGATTACAGGAGGCAAATGGAGGCTCGCTGTCCGAGAAGAAGTTTAGAGTTGTTTTTGTCTTAGGTGAGCGCTTTGATTTTTGTATCTAATTATAAATCTTTCAACTACTTATTTGAAATAGTAGGGTCTCTGCCAGTATAAGTAATTTGAATAACTCAAAGGTGAACTATACTATTACTCCTGAACATCACCATATATATATGGACAAATATTCCCGTACAGGTATAAGTGGATCCCTCCTTTTTTATCCATCTCTAGATATGTATGTTTGCAGATATATATTGAAGAGAGGTGAAATTGAATGAGGGATGTGGTCAGATTGTTTATATTTTTAAATCCTTCAAAATGGAATCCAGTACTTTCACTTGTTGAAGGAATGATCAGTATGGGAATGACCATTTGACCAAACCAATCGTGACAAAATTTTGACCAAGGAATGACCATTTCATTCCCCTGTTATTCAGTGTATTGGATGGGTCTAAGTTTGTGAGGTTTCAGATATTTAGGTCTATTGTTTCCATTGTTCCATTAAGACTATTTTCTCAAAGTTACACATCAAAACTCATGTAGCTTTTCTAGTTTCACTGGTTTTTCATTAATGAATCATCCCATATAAAAATTGTAAATTTGAGTATGAATTTTTCATGGCATATGAGAATTCCAAGTCCCCAGTTTACCATTTTCTTAACAGATGATAATAGCAAGTTTTATGGGTTTAGAAGAATTTGGAAGCACATCATTTCCTGGGAAAAAAAGATCTGGGATTATATTGTATTTATTTATTGCATAAAATAGTCTTAAGTATTAAATTTTCTGCTGTTACTATAGGCAATGATAATGAGTTTGAAGGTTGGTAAGATTGTGGATATGTAAATATTATCCTGATTTCTTGACACATTTGGTTAAAAAAAGAAAAAGAAAAGAGCAGAGTGTTTTTTATTTTTAGCTACAATTGGGGTGTATTATTTTTTTATAGCTTATTTGTTAGAGTCAGCGTTTCTTGTCTTTTTTCTTTTCTTATGGAACTTTAGTGGCTTTTTGACTTCTTAATTGATTTACCATTTTTCACATATTAAATTGAACAGGTGGCCCAGGCAGTGGAAAGGGCACCCAGTGCGCAAACATTGTGCAACACTTTGGGTTCACCCATCTCAGTGCTGGTGATCTTCTCCGAGCAGAAATAAAATCCGGTTCTGAAAACGGGTTGAGTTCTCTTTGTTTCATTTCTTTGCTGATATGTCCACACACTATGTTAAAATTCCTCTTGAAAAAGCAACAATTGAATTCCGCTTCCCAAATTTGGCATAAAAAGCGAGCAATGTGCTTGATGTAGATTGCTTACGATAATTCCCGATCTGATGTGATTAGATCGTTGTTGCTAGAAGAATGCAACTTTAAATTAGGCATTAGCTTGAGAGTGGTTAACCTCATATTGGTTAATTTTTTCCCCTCTTATTTTTAACAATTAGGTGAAGTAGCAAATTCATGTTTAACTGATTGGATGCTATCTGATCTACAATGATAAGTTATGCTGTGTTTGTCTCTGTGCGAGTTCTTTTGGCCAAAAAAGTTACATTTTTATTTGAAAAATCATTACTGTAGCTTAAATCTTCTCTTCGGTGAAGTTTTCCTTTCTTTTTGAGAGATTTTATTTTATTTTATTTTATTTTTTTATTATTATTTTTTTAAAAAGTTGGTTGCAAATTGTTTTAACTGATTTGTTTAGTGTGAAGACTATTTTTAAAACTGACAGGATTCGTGCCAGTATTCATTATAATATAGAAGTGCTAATTTCCATTTGTAGAAAGGTGACGTTGTGTTCCTTTCCAAGAAGGGATTGATGTAATACCAAAAATAAAACTTTGTTTTTGCAGCATATTTGTATAGGACTGTCCAATTTTTCGATAAATGAAATGATTATTGCCTTAATTAAGGTTGATTTTTGTCCTATTAATCTTCTGAATTTGCATGCATGAAATGGAAGAATTCTCCTAATGTATGGAAAAATAATTTCTTGGTGTAGGAAAGTTGCATTGTCTTTCTTGGTAGGATAGGATTAGTAACAAGTGAAAATGTTGTATTTACAGTATATTTCTCTAGGGTTGTGTTGTTCCTATCTCCACAAATTAAATGATTGGTGCCATCGATTAAGATTGATTTTTGTTCTATTATACGTCCTACATTGTATGCATCTTTCTTGCATGCTTGTTGCATGTGTTTATCTACCGATGCTGAGATAATTTATCTACCAGATATCATCGTTTCCAACTAAGTAGAGCAGGACATGCTTTTTCATCTCAAGCTTTGGTTTCTAATTTTCAACTTTGTTATGCGATACCTCAATTCTAAATTTCTGCGCTCCAATAATTTACAGGACCATGATTCAGAACATGATTAAGGAGGGAAAGATCGTCCCTTCAGAGGTAACAATTAAGCTTCTCCAACGAGCAATGCAGGAAAGTGGTAATGACAAATTTCTTATCGATGGTTTCCCTCGTAATGAGGAAAATCGTGCAGCCTTTGAGTCTGTTGTAAGTCTTCTATACAGCCCCATATTTGAATCTTTATGTTGTAACTGTATATACAAATACAATTGCTTTGATTGCCAGTTCAAAGTGGCTCATTTGTTGATATTTCAATTGAAGATACTACTTTAGGATATGTTGTCTTAATTGCCACTAACTTGGATGGTTTGCAGACTGGAATTGAGCCAGAATTTGTACTTTTTTTCGAATGTTCAGAAGAAGAGATGGAGAGGCGCCTTTTGAATCGGAACCAGGTTAGTCATATATTACTTGTGCATGCCCTTAGCTCTCATATCCAATCTCTGTTTCTTATGCTGTTTCTTCTTTTTAAAATTTTATTTGTTCTTCTCGTCTTTTTTTTTTTTTTACTGGCAATGAAGGGAAGAGAAGATGATAACATTGATACAATACGGAAGCGATTTAAGGTTTTTATGGAATCGAGCCTCCCAGTGATTGAGTATTACAAGTCCAAGGGGAAGGTTCGCCAGGTAATGTTTTATCCATTTTCCTCCTTGACAACCTTCTTGTTTTATGATTTATTGCAACAACTGATGTTGCTTCTGCCCTCAGATTGATGCTGCAAAGCCTATTGAAGAGGTGTTTGAAGCTGTTAAAGCCGTTTTCACCCCATTGAATGAGAAGGTAAAACACCGACACCGTAGTGATGCTTCATGGAGTTTTAATCGATGTATGCGCCAATTTGGAGAGAAAATAAAATGCTTTTGGACGAGACGTGTATCGTCTTGATGAAAATGTCTGTGTACTTATAAAATTTAGTGTGGAATAAAATGTTCAATATCCTACTTTCCAGAAGTCAATTTTTTGGCAAAGTGATGTTCTGCATTTTTTGGGAGTTCTGAATGCAGCCGGCACATTACAGTGATGGAATAAAATAAAAAAAAGGTATGATTTAGATTTAGGAACAAAATGAAGTAGATATAATGGATGTGTTGTGGGTACACTAAATAATGGATTTGAATGAGGGACAAGCACTGCATGTAGAAAGCATTCAGAAATTTCATCGAATTGCAATATTTAGGACAGAAGCCTGTCTCCATTTGGTCTGTCCTACTCGGATCCGGTTAGAGTGTTGGGCGTTAAAAAAGAAACAAGAATAGCACATTCGTGTAATTGAAATGTGGATTTGAGGTGGATGATAGGAGTGACTAGAAAAGATAAATTTACTATTCAAAGTATAAGCGAGATTTTAGGAATAAGACCTAGAAGGCTAGAAGAGATAGTGTCACTAATGAAAGTGAGAGAAAAATTAGATGTCCACCCATTGGTGAGAAAATTAGAGAGAGTAGACTTTGATGGTTTGGACACTTACAAGATACTCCTATGGAAAGAGGAAGACTAGTTGTAATAGAAGGCAAGAGACAGAGAGAGTGACCAAAAATAACATGGGATGAGGTTATTAAAAATGACTTAAAAAAGTTATATATAGTAGGTGAAATGGTATGCCATAGAAAAGAATGGAGAGAGAGAGAATTCATGTGACCCACTCCATGCATATGAGATTTAGGCAAGGATGATGACCTATTAGCAGCAAAATAATAGAAAAGCAGATCCATTGATGCGTCCACAAGGAAGGAAAAATTAGTTTTCATAGAAGATAAAAGACAGCAAGGTTGACCAAAAATAACATGGAATGAAGTTGTTAAAATGACTTTAGAACTTAAATATTAGAGGAGACATGGTGTATAATAGAATATAATGGAAAAAAGAAAATCCATGTGGCCGACTTCATGCATTTGGGAAAAAGGCAAGGATGGTGAAAGTATTATCCACCATGGAACAAGAAAAAGCTCAATTATGTTCAAATAAATAATAAAAAAAGTAGTTTTTGGACAGTTACAGAATTCAGCCCTTATTTTCCTTTAAATATGATATACAATATTTTCATTAGCAATGATACCTCTTGATTAGTCTTCATTTTAGGTAAGAATTTTTTCCTAGTGTAGCTACACCAAGTTCCTTCCATTAAAATAATGCGCCTGTGGCAGAGTTATGTGAAGTTTTTTCCCATCATATGTTGATCTTTTTAGTAGGGGAAAGATTTATCTTTTAAGCAAGTTTCGGGTTCCCTCCATTAAAAAATGAGCATGTGGCATAACTTTTCGAAGTTTGTTTCTTGATTTTTCGTGCAGGAACCTGATCATGTATGACCACTCAATTTTTTTCTCATAAATCAAGGAATGACTTGATATTTTTATATTGTAAGGATAAGGATGTGGCATCATGTGATAAATAATTGAAAGAATTTCCTGGGAAAAAATTGGCAGATATATGCATTGACCATTCATTTCAGTTGTCCATGTCTTTTTTTAATTCAAACAATCGAATTGTTTGTGCATTGCAGGTTGCTGTCTAGGTGTCGGAACTGTACCCATCATTTGAAAGCACTTTTCCATTGAGGTAATGCATTCATCACAATTCACAACCTCAGGAATTATTTTAATTTTTTTATATTTTAGTCTTGGTTGGATCATACATTTTTGGAGATTTATGGAGTTTTGATGGAAATTTCTGTTGCATATCTTAGGTTTATAAGTTTATATGGTTGAGATTTTGAGCAGAAGCAGTGATTTTTTGTCATTTTCCTTTCCAAGTTCTAGCTACATTTGTAAAGCTCTGCTAAAAGCCAAGAAACATTACTGGGGCTGGATCTTTATACAGCCAAAGAGTTCATTTCATTTTTTATCGTCAAATTTTCATTTTAATAACCATTTTTATGCTACTGCTTCAAAAATATCGGAAATATTTGGTTCATGAAGGATTCTCAATAGCAAAGGTCATTGCCTAGTGGAGCTCCTGTCTCTTCATGATATTGAGTGCTGGAATTTGTATAGACCTAATTTCCAGGTTTATTTGCGGAAGTGAGAATCTCAATGTGTCGTTATGCGGTGCTAGTCATGTCTACTCCAGTGCTGGGAGAGACAATGTGGCTACTCTTAGACTTTTCGGCTCAAACTTTTGCCTTTTCACTAATCAGTGGTCCCTGGTCTGACTTTTAAATGTTCCATTGTTGATATTTGAGAAGCTGCTCAGCAGCATCAATCATTTCCTTGTTTATATGTTCTACTACTTGGTAATCTATAAATAGTCATGATGCAAAATTGTTTATGGTGTAGTGTTAAATATACTGTTTGGTCTTGAGATGAAATTTCACCTGATAGTTAAGAATAGTAAACATTTTGTTGACACTCGAGAGAGATGCATTATGAAGAATTTATATTTGGAAGTATTGTTATGGAATTTCCAAGTTTTCTTGTGTTCCTAGTAAAGTGTACAAGGCTATGTATGAGACTTCGAATATCCTTAACACGATTTTTATATATTTTCAAAAGTGACAGTTGCAGCGAGAATTTTGTGGATTAATAAGATCGGAACTGTCATTTTCTTGGATTCTTCTTAAGAAAAGGACTCTCTCTCTCTCTCTCTCTCTCTTCCATTTTCTTTTTGCTTTCCTAGGCTTGAAAGGATTCAATTGTTACTAAAACACAGAATTTCATTAGTGAGTTGACATAACAATGTATCACCACATGTTGCAAAACTATCCTTCTCCATTTATAATGATTTTTCAATTGTTTTATTTCAGCTTTTTGTTGTTTTGAAGCTAATTTCTCTATATTCCCTCTTTTTTCCAGGTGGTTTTCTATTTAGCGAAAGCTTTCTTGCACTCCGGCCCAAGTTTTTTTACTATAGAAAGCTACAGTTATTGTTAATCGATAAACAGGAAAGTTACAGTTTATGTAATGTGGTTTCTGCCTTTGCATTCTTGTTATATGACTGAATTATAATAGAGATTAATTTCAAATGGTAATCATCATATGCTCTTTGTCCCACTGATCTCTCTCAAATTGAATGTTGGTATTTGGCTTATCCTACAACACACACACACACACACACACACACACACACACAGTACAAGTAGAAATCTTATGAAAGAGTACATTAAAGTAGAGTAGAATAATCTTAAACATGTTCAATTGTCATAGTTGCAGTAGATGCTCCAATAATACTCTAAAGACATCCATAATAGAACATTATTGTTGCCAAAAAGGCTTTGAAAGGCACAACATCCTAACTTACGGCTTTAGAAGTTCATGGTTTCTCAAAGTTTACAAATGACCAAATCGATAAATATTGCACTAACCTGATTCTTTGGCAAACTGGGGAATCATCAGAGGCTGAAACCCGTGTTTAAGACTGGCTTCCCAAACTTTGTCACCGTCAAACATATTGTCACCACACTCATGTACATTCCATCCTTCTAAGCCATGCACTATCCCGGCTACGCGCCAAGCACTCATCACTCTTCTTGGCAACCAATTCTGTCACATTAATCGCAAAATACAGAAGTTTATATATACACACTCATATATAAATGTATGTTTTGAAACAATATGTATATGTGTGTGTGTATGTTTTGAAACAATATGTATATGTGTGTGTGTGTATAAGTTCCAAACCTCACAAGAGTCCAGGTTCTGGAGAGACATGGGAGTTAACATTGCTGGTGTGTTGTGGTACAAGCAATCGCTGCGCCTTTTCTTTGGTGGGAATTGTGAGAATGGAATGAAGAGTGTTCCTTTTGATGCATTCAGCTCTTCTTCTTCAGTCAATCCATCTCCCACTAGCCATACCTACATTAATTTATTTGCACACGTCACTGTATTGAAAAAAAAAAAAAAAAAAAGAACTAAAATTCATTTATTATTAGCATAGTACTCTTCTTGGAATTTCATACGAGAATTTCTAGATGAATGCAACATGATATAATATTAAATTTAATATATTTAGAAATCCATCAATTTGTTAGACTAGTATGTCAATTTTCAGAATTTAGATAGCTTGCAGTGTCTCAACTAGTCAAAATGAGAGAAATAAAAATACTAATAAACTTGACAAGGCCTTAAACTGATGTTGGAATTTTAATTTTCAAATTTAATCTAAAAAGAAAGATGAACCTTGGACTTTATATTTTATTGGTTTTTATATATATGGTATAACCAAGACTCTAGTGGATTATATTGTGTTTGTCAACTGTTATAAATCGCATATACTTAATTTCTATTCTAAGCCCATATCTTTCCTGTTTGGCCATAGTCTGTATGACATTTAGGCTTGTTAAGGAATCATAATAGAAACAATTTGGGGTACAAGAAAGAAAGACCAGTATTGCAGACATAGGAAAAAGGTATGATAACTACCTTGTGAGCATATCCTTTTGACAGGACCAAATTACTTTCACACTCTGTTTCCAGCTTCAGCTTCAGCTTCTCATACTCATTTTGATATAATGTTGCCACCTGACATAAATTCAAGTAATGTAAGAAAAATTAATACACTTTCACAACTGTCATACTTTGTTGAATCTTCACATTAAAAAGAGCAAACTCAAGCTCCCGTCATTGCAGGGTCTGAGAGAATCAGATGTACGTAACTTTAAGATCTTCACGCGGAAAAAAGTAATAATTTGGAAATACTTTTCCTGATTTGAGGAAACAAGTCTCCATCTTTCTCTAATCCTAACCAGAACTTCAATATATATATATTTTTTCCTAATTGATGCTCACACATCCCCCTCAGAATTGTTCACACATGAGCAAACAAAAAAAAGAAAAAAAGAAAAGAAAAAGGTAAACATACCTGGATGCCCTTTTGGCATAAAGCATAAGCAATGGAAAAAGCAATTCTGGATAGATTGCCTCTGAGGAGCACTTGTGTTGTTCCTTTTGGAATGCTATTTAGCACAACACCAACTGCTAAGCTACTTCCATCTACCACCTTCATTTTGAGCTTAGGATACTTTTGGATGTAAAGCTCACCATTTCTGTTAAGTTCCTCCCCCTGCAATATTGTGCGTGTGTGTGTGTGTGTGAGAGAGAGAGAGAGAGAGAGAGAGCAAATAGTACCTGATTAATCATGATGGACAAAACCAGGTCTAACTATATATTTTATAGTATTACAATATTGTTGACTTGATGAACAGAAAATGTTTAGAAGTGTTATATATTTAAATTACACCATCTCTAACAACTTAAGTTTTCAGAGTAGATGGTGGTTAACATGGTATCAGAGCAGTCAAAATCTTTGATAATTAAAATTGAAACACGTGTTGGACTAATATCCAGCGGATTAAACAAGAAACAGGCTGCTATCCTTGTTAAAAATTCCTGAAGTAGGCAAATTGCAGCAAAGGAAGTAGGCTGCATGCTCTAGATGTCAATTGAAGATTATAATATAAGGACACTCTAAATCTCTAAACCTTTAGTTCATAAGAATTTATAAATTTACCGGATTAGGTACCTCACTTGTGATCAAAAGAGACCATAAGGAAGAAAAACAAGAGATGAGAAAGATGAATGAACTTGCCTGGTTCAAAAGGCCTAGACTTAACACCTTAATACCTCTTCCCTCGGCCTCTAGTATGGCCTCTTCAATCTGATCATTGATGTCCTCTTTTTGCCTTCGAAGTGAGTACTGAAAATAAAATCAGCACAATGCTTTAAACATTGCAATGAAAATACACATAACAGAGTAAGAAATGTGTGTCCAAAAAAGGAAAATACTAATAATAATGTGAATCTTACTTGGATACTGTATCTTGGTACTGCCCATGATTGTAATTTGAGCTTTCTAAAGATATTTCTCTCGAGAATGAATGTCCGGCCATAGAGATAAGTGATGATCATGGACCAAAATGTCACCGGCCACATTAGCCACAGGTACCAGCTAGATGTGTGGGGCTTGGAGGCCAAGGAGGCGAACCCTAGCCGGAGATGATAGATGGAGTCTGGTGTTGTGAGATGCGTTAGATGCACTACATCCGGCGACTCTTCTTGTCTTTTGAGTGAATCTTTGTATAGTGTATCTGTGGACTTGTCCATGGTACCATATATGTAATCATAGATTGGCATGAACAATGAGTAATTGGTCCGAAATTGAGTGTGATGCAGGGAGTGATATCTGTTCACTCGAGACATTATAATGTGATTGAGATATTATATAAGAACAAACTCAATAAATTGAATTTTTTTTTTTTCTTTCTAAATTTATACGACGTACACATGTATGCAAATATATTGAATTTCACTTGTTGGTTTATATCAACATTATGTTGGTTGTTAAGAATGAAGAATTAAGTTCAGAATTTCAAAGAGATTTGGAGACTTACGACGGCGTATACATAATGTACTTGAGAGGGGGAAAGATTGTGAAGAGGCACTTAGGAATGAGCTCAAAGTTGCAGTGTCCCATGTTGTTCATGAGATCAATGTAAGTGATATAACCAAAGATTGCCACTATAGAGCCAGTCCCAGTCAACACTGTCGCCATCATTGGTATCGCAAAGAGCAAAAAGTATGCAATATGTTCTGCAAATGGATGAATAACAGCTGAAACACACACACACACACACAGTTATTAGAATACCAAATTCAAAAAATTGAAAAGATTCAATTGTTCCAAGACATATAGAAGAGATATGATAGATATGGTCTTACACGAAATGGGCTCGGTGACAACAGAGGAATGGTGGTGGGAATGGTAGCGAGAGTAGAGGTAATGGTGGTGCAGTGCTCTGTGTAACCAGTAGTAGAGGAACTCAACAGGTCCAATATGGAGCAAAGTTGTGATGATCACACCATCTGTTCTCCACAGGGGTAAGTTTGAAGCCTCAGGAACTGCCATGTTTACTATGTAGAATATAATTCCATTCATAAGGATTTGGTCATCCCTGCCAATCACCCCCATCAGATCACAATTTAAACACACAAGATTAAAAACACATAGTTCACATACAGTCACACTGAGTGAAAATTTTGAGACACTTAAAGTACCATGTCATCGGTGTTATCAATCAATTATATCTTTGTTTTTTCGTCGTATGCACGCATGTTCTACATTGTTTGGGATTTTCACCTAAAAAACTATATGATTTAAGCCTACTTGAACTGTAAATAATTTGCATATTACCACTGTACATATATACTAAATTCCCTTATGAATAAATGGCATAAATTGCCCTAAAATATAAGAATTTTGCATATATGTCCTATTAGGGATAGCAACGAGGGCGGGTTTGGACGGGTGTACCCTCCCCCGCCCCTGCAACCGTTTAAAAATCTCACCCCCAATCCCATCCCCGCCCAAAACTGCAAAAACGGGAACTTTCCACCCCATCCCCACCCTCGTTTAACATCTATACCCCGTGGGTATCCGCCCTCCCTTGTTTAAGACTATAAATTCTCCTCCATTTATTTTTTTTCATCAACTCAAATTATATAATTATTTAAAAGATTCGTAAAAAAGAATGGGCAATAAATAGTTTAACATAAAATTCAACATTAAAAACATTCTAAATGGTCGCGCAAACAACTTGTTCCGGATTTTCAAATTTTGTTGCAAAACAAACTATCTCAATATATATACTAATGAAGTAAGGGTACTAAACGAAAATATATATACTAATAAAATAAGGGTACTTAAGTAATTTAGCTATCTAAACGGGGCGGGGCGGGGCAGGGCGACCCCCCCCGCCCCCTCACCGAACTCACGCGGATTTTCATTACGTCAAACCATCTCCGCCCAAATAAGCTAAACGGTTTCTAAAACGGCCAAAAACGAGCTGGGACGGGGGTACCCGCCGCCGCGCGGCAGGGGGGGGGGGGGGGGGAATTGCTATCCCTATGTCCTATGTTCTTATAGCTTTGTGGATTTTGTGCAAATAAACTAAAGGGCAATTTAGTAACTATCATGACACATTTAGGGCCTGTTTGCTGACCATTTCCGTTTTGCATTTCTATTTTCACCCAAAACAGAAACAGTATTTTTGTTGTACTTTGTTAAATAGAAATTGAAAACATATTTGGTAACGTAAAATTTGTTTCAAGATTTTTAGAAGGAAAAAACACGAAAATGTGTTTGGTAAAAAAATATTTGCAACATTGAGAAAAATTGTTATCGTAATACTATTCACAGCTACTGTGTTTTTGTTACCACCCAAAAACATTAGGAAACACCAATTTTGTGTTTTTGATTTAAGTCTCTTTTCTACAACAAATGCGATACTACTCAAATCCTAACAAAAATTACCAAAAACGTTTTGGTGTTTTGGTTTGCTTTCTTAATTGCAAACTTTCAATAATTCAGCGTTGACTAATTTAATTTCAGGGGTAACTTTCAATTTGATTATGGTGCAGAGCTTTTGTGTAACTATCCCCAAGCCATATCCCTTTGACATTGATATATATATATATATAGAGAGAGAGAGAGAGACAGAGAGAGAATCAGTTACCAATTGCTTTCTCTGTCAACTTGGTCAAACTCAATAGTCTTGTCAACAATCCTGTTATTGCCTTTGGCTGTTCGGTGACGAGAAATAGAAATCCATATTTGGTTATGAAGCATCCTCCACAATAGAAATGGGGCTGTGAGAAAGTTGAAAAGGTCTCTCTCTTCTTTCATAACAATCAAGTACATGCTACGAACCACCCATGGCGCCAAAATTACATGCTTCACCATGCAATTACATGAAAACCCAAGTTAGAAATTAATTCTATTAAAAAAAAAAAAAAACAAAACTAATACTATATTTTGATTTCATGGTGAGTATTAAAAATGCAAGTGTGTATATATATATATTTTTTAAAAAAGAAAAAGAACATCAATGTGTTGTGTACATCGTACGTACTTTCCAAAGTACTACAACAAATGAGATGCATTAATTTAGCAACAGTATTTATTATGGAATTCGTTATAATATTTGCCAAGTTTCAATGCATTTGGCTGAGTAGGTGAACTCACGTACTTGTGAAATAAATGATTTATGCATGAAAATAAAAGTATTCAGAATAATATTTACAGAACTAAATATTGCTGAATCAAAAGTAACTCTAGTTTAAGATGAATGAAATGATCTTTACAATAAAATAAAAGAGTTTGGAATGATTAACGAACAAAATACTATAGAATCAAAAGCAGCTCTAGTTTAAGGTGAAAGAAATGATCTTCACATGAAAATTTTAACAAATAAAATATTACAGAATCAAAAGTAACTCTAGTTTAAGGTGAACGAAACAATATTTACATAAAAATAAAATAATCCAGATTGATTAATATATGCACAAAATATTACAGAATCAAAAGTGCGTAGCTCTAGTTTAAGGGGAGTGAAATGATTTTTACATGAAAATAAAAGAATTCGGAGTGATTATCTAATAAAATATTGCAGAATCAAAATAAGAAATAATATTTACATGAAAATGAAAGATTTCGGAGTGATTAACGAATAAAATATTGCAGGATCAAAATAACTCTAGTTGAAGATGAATGAGCCGTATATAGTTCATTTATCTGTTCTATAGAGTAAACACATTATGATCAATAACGTAGAAGGTCTAAGATATATATATATGTGTGTGCGCGCGCGCGTGTTCGTATATATGGTTGTAAACTGTGAAAGAAAAAAGTGGTTGAAAATGCAAGAGATAAAACTAGGAACATATACCTTAAAGCTTCCGAGATGCTTCCATGGCCAGTCAGTGAGGACTCCTGGTTTTGAAGCCATTGTTTTAGAACTACTCTACCTAGCTATCATGTGATATGGAGTTGCCTATTCTAAGGTTTATATATATATAGGTCCTCTTGAATAAAGTATTTTGTCACATGTACCAACAACTAAATGTAACCATCAATGACCATACGAACAAAATGAGGGTGTTAGCTGCACCAATACGATTCACATGCTTTTGTCTGTTCAAAACAAATTGTAACGTATACTTCGTCTTTCTCTTAAATATATATATACACACACACACATTTTGAAAGATAAATCAATGATAAAAAAACTGTCATATACCTACATTTAAAAGTAATTCTTTTTTTATCTTCGAGTGGGGTTGAGTTAGATGGGTCATTTGGTAGAGGCACTTCTCTAGCTCTAATCGTGTGCGAGTCCAGAGTCAACTCACCCTATCCTTCCTCTACCCTCAAACCAAAACCAAAAAAAAAAAAACCTTTGATTTTTATTGAAATATAAAAAAACTATTTGTAAAAGTTTAGCTTTGATTATTCGATTAAAATGTCTCTAAAAAGATAACAAAATTCGATATGACCCACCGATACAACTCAAACACATGTAACACGAATTTAGCGGATTTGAATTGACCTTAATCATTCTTGTGTCATAGTTATTTCATCCAGTTTAATTAATCGTGTTGTGTTCATGTTTTAGAGTTTAATCCGTTTTATTTGATTAGACTTATTTAATTAATTGTGTCAAATCAGTCCTCTTCAACCGTAACGTACTTGTTTTAACCTAATTAGTACGAATTGCCATCCTACTCTAATGCACCGTGGCCTACATCATGTACATGCAAATAAAGTTTGTGGAAATGAATGAAATTACAGAAAATGTTTTGGTTTTCGCTGGAAGCGAAGAAGTCTGGACCATAGTATAAGATTTGTTGTCTTTGAAAAGGAAAAATCTAAAGAATTTAAATAAAATAATAGTTTAAATCAAATGATTTAAATTTACAAATCTTGCTCAAACATTCTAATTTTAATTAGTTGATTCTGTCGGTAAAAAGAATCTTTCACTAGCGATTTCTTCCAGCACACACATTATATACATATACACACACACAGTGACACGGAATTGACCTCTGATGGAAAAAGCTTCTATTAATTAATTATAGTAACGTTTCTTTATTGGATTAATTGGGACCATATTTTTTGTTCATTTTAGAGTACAATTATTAATGCGAAACTTTGCCAAATTTGTGATTTGTCACATTGGTTGGTTTATTTGGCTAGTGTACTGTGTAACACTCCCCCATTTATGATATTTCCATGAGTAGTGATATTCACCTAACATTTTATCACAATTATGTTGGGATATCCAGTGTCGTGTGTGTGTTTGTGTACATGATTGTTGTCATATGTATAGTTATATACTTTTTCCGTTAGGAGTGCACACGGTTCAGTTCGGTTTGGTCCGGTTTCTGACGGAACCGGAACCGGAACCAGAACCGGAACCGATCTTAACGGTTCCTTAAAAATGGAACTGGAATCGGAACTGTTGAGACCTAGAACCAGACCGAACCGAACCGGCATTCACGGTTCGGTTCCAAGGAACCGCTGACTGTTTGAATCTTCCTTGATTGCTACAATCGAAACCTAAATTTCCAAGGGAGTTTCGCAAATCTCTGGCTACCCATCTTCCTTCCAAGGCTTGATATGAAAGGTCATTCCGGTACGTAAAAAAAAAAAAAAACAGAAATATGTGGGTTTTGATTACAAACCCATACATACAAGTTAGCAGTTGCAGAGAGAGAGGGGGGCAAGCTTGAGAGTTGAGAGACAGCGGCTAAAGCTTGCGAACGGTGAACCCGAAGTGGAACATCGGGCGATGGAAACTGAAAGATATGGGTTTTGATTTTTTGAACAATCTTAAATGATATGCCGATATGGGTTTTGAACTTTTGATTCTTGCAGACAGATAGATAAAGTGAAATATATGGGTTTTGAACTTCTGATTCTTGTAGATTTTGTAGTTTGCAGTTGCTGAGAGAGAGAGAAGTTCAGAGTCAAGAACGAGAATAGAGATGGAGGCGATTGGGGAGGCTGAAATGATTTGCCCTAAAAATATTTTATTTTTTTGGTTTAGAATTACTAATAATATAATCAAATATATATAATATTACGGTTCGGAACCGGAACCGGAATCGGAACCGAACCGAATCTCAACGATTCCTCATTTTAGGAACTGAGACCGGAACCGGAACCGGAACCGGAACCGGAACCGTAAGAACCGGAACTGAAGTCCCGGTTCAGTTCGGTTCGGTTCCGGTTCTGGTCCCGGTTTCACGGTTCTTTTGTGCACCCCTACTTTTCGTCCCAAAATACATGAATATTTTGAAAACTATGATTCACATTTTTTAGTGCAATTATTAATGCGAAACTTTGCCAAATTTGGGATTTGTCACGTGGGTTGGTTTATTAGGCTAGTGTACTGTGTAACACTCCTCGCTTATCATATCTCCATAAGTAGTGATATTCACCTAACATTTTATCACAATCATGTTGGGATATCCACCGTTGTGTGTGTGTTTGTGTACACACAAAAATGATTGTTGTCATGATATACAGTATGTGTTTGTGTGTGCACGTGTAGATAAAATAAGTCCGAATGGGGACAATCACAAAGAAAAAACGAAGTAAAAATTGATGCGAATCGTGTAATGGATGCATGTATACGATGGAAGAAGAGAAAAAGAGAAGGTAACTAAACACTGACACCGATAAAAAAACAAACAGCATACACCACAAGAAAAAAAATTTACAAGAAAAATATATAGTTTACAATGCACATGCTCGAAAAAAAAAGTGAATCGTGTAATTGATGCATGTTTACGTTGTAATAAGAGAAAAAGGGAAGGTAACGAAACACCGACACTGGAAAAAACAAACAGCATACACCACAAGAAAGAAAATTTACAAGAAAAATATATAGTTTACAATACACATGTTTTTCGAAAAAAAGTGAATCTTGTATGGGTGATTAAAAAGTGTTACAAGAAAAATTACTTTTTACAACGCACCATGAACCTTGTAAAAGATACTACAAATTTAATTTCAAAAATTGAAGTAGAAATGGTGCATTTTTAATATATATATATATATATATATATATATATATATATATATATATATTGGTAAGTTTTGAAAGTTTAATCAATTAAATTGACAATTGAAAATCTTAAACTTGATGTCTTATAAAAAATTGACTAAAGCATGTGATTTACTATAAATGCATAAACCAAATTAAGGTACGAAAACGAAAAATTCATGACTGCTATAACCAGACATAATATTCTTTGTAATATTAAAACTTATTTGACGGATAGATTTTCTCAACCTCCAACCAACTTGACTTGATTAGTTGTGGTGACAATTACACATGATGGATTATTCCGTTTGTCATGAATCATGATTTAGGTTTATGGTATTAAGTGCAATTACTATTGTGTCCAAATATATATATATGTGTGTGTGTGTGGTGTAGTCAAATCAAAATTAAAATATTGAACATGAACGAGTTTGTCAATTTTGCTACCATCATGCAATAACTAAATTTCCTACATTTATTATTAATGTGACCAAACAATGCATGTGTAAGCGTACTTAGCATTGAAGTAGCAGTTATTTCAATGGCAGCCGTATAGCTTTAGGAGGACATGCTCGTGGTACTACTTCAGAGAGCTGATTGAATGGGTGGGTAATACAAAATGGATCAAAATTCTCTTCCTCTGAGAGGATTCCTTGGTCTTAATTGATTCCCTCCGTTTTAATATAGTTGTTAATTTCGTAAACCGTGACTTACAATTATAATCGTGTTTTTTATAAAGCACTAAGATCGAATTTTGTTTTGTGTATTTTCAATATTAATATATTTCATATATTTATTGTTTCATTTGAATAAAAATTATGCCCTCTTATAATTTTTTTGTGCGTGTAAAACCTTATGTATAAAGGGGCTCGTATGTGAACGCCCCTAGGGCCTCTCAAATGTACTAAATGTAGGTCCAATTTACATCATATTTAAATTGAAAGATATACCACTGTTACTTCAAATTTTTTTCATGAGTTTTAGTTTAAAATAAACTGATGCTAGATCATATCGGAATGAAAACATAATAAAAAGCATATCTACCCATGAGATCTCTAACACCAATATTGGTAAGTGCGCGTGTTCGATATGATTGTGTACGTGAATTTTCAGCAATCATATTTTGAGTTTGTGAATGGTCAAGTTGTGTTGTGTTGACAACTAAAATGACATTCAAGTGATAGTCATCTTAAGGTCTACATGGACTTATGGAGAGTAGAACAACTCAACCGAAGTATGAACCAATAATAAAGTGAAACATGGACGTACATTAATTATATTCCAAACCCTTGGGGATAACTTATTTGTTAGCACTTGGGCTGGACTTTGATGTCGCTGGGTGAATGTTATAAAAGTGGGCCAGATTAATTGGGGCACCTACACAGAAAAGAGGAAATGAGCTACTGGACCTCTTTTAACAAGAAAAGGGGATTAGTTGGTGGGCAAATTAGGTACTAAAGATTTTGGGCTAGATTGGCATATGCAGATTTAAAACTAGAGACAACGCCTATTTTAATCTAGATGGGAAGTGAAATGGGTATAAATGGATGGCTATGCAGTACTATTCAAGGAACAAAATCATCTCCTGTGCTACAGGAGAGCCGGTCCCATCCAGTGAGTTAAAATGTTAAAGGTTAAAAATTAAAAAGCAAGACTTTTGTATATACATACACACATGCATACGGATCAAATTAAAATCAGACCAACTTCTAACTCTCTTTTTCTCTCTCTACAATCTCTCTTTACACAAACTTTAAAGAAGAGTTATTATAGAGTATACTCATCAATCTAAAGTAAAACTGGAGCCCTTCCAAGCTTTATGACATACACAACACAAGTTTATTGACAGTAAAGAAAGATGCAACGTACTTACGACGTGAATAAATTTGATATACTTT